CAAAAGAAAAAAAATCTCTAATCCTGACTAAACACTGATTTGTCACCAGAAGGTCACAATGCTCCTGCACCTTCTCAAAGGGCAAAGGTATCAGGGGCATCTTTTTTCTTCCCTTTCTCCTCAAAAATTCTTGTCTGCCACTTAAAATACAAGTGAGTGTGGATTGCTGGCTTATTTTTATTGCTAGTTTTCAAAGCCATCTGCTTTTGTCCCATTTCATTTTCATCTCTTTATGTGAGAGCTTTGCAAGTAGACCTAAAGTTTCCATCATTAAATTCTAAGTGTTGGCCTTGAATTGAGAGTTTTCCCACCTTCCCTTTCTTCAGCATCAGTGTGAATTATTGACCAGGGAGATGGCTGTCAGCCCTTGTCAGCATTTAAACCCTGATGTGAGAGGTTGAACAGCCCAGCTCCTGTTTGTACTGGTTATTAACTTACTCTAATTGCCTTCAGAGTGGCAAAAGCCTTTCCATGAAGGTTTTTCAACAAAATCTCTGGTCTCAAGAGATCTTCAGGCTGATTTTTAAGAGGCAGGAGTATCTGCCTGGTGCATTGCCATGGCAGCTGGTTGCTGGAGGAGCACATGGAGACAGGAGGAGGCAGATTTGGTCAGCGTGGGTACATACCTGGAGGGATTTCAGAGGGTGTCTCAGCAATCCAGATGATCCAGGGTCAATCTCAGCAGCACGGACAAAGAAACCTTTTGGATATCCCTTGGGCAGACAAAGCAGTGCTGGCAGAAGGCAGGGGTACACCCTGGCTGAAATGCTCATTGCTGTGCTCAGGAAAACATCATTTGTGTCAGATCCATTTCTGAGCCCCAGGAAAGGCAGCAGAAGGCCCTCAAACCAGCTAACAGCCATTCAAGGGACTAAATTCCAGTCAGTCATCACTTAGTGCTTGTGCAGAGCCATCCCCCAGGGCTCAGTGACCCCCACCCATCACTCCCCCCTCAAGCACACCCTCAGCAGTGGAGGTGCTGCCCAGCCTCTGGCATCACTGTGGGAGGGGGACCTGGGCACTCCCAGCTGAAGTTGATCACACCTCATGGGACAGGTGTTGGAGGTAAAGACCCACAAACAGATCCCAGGGCTTCTCAATTAGGTTTTACTTCTTAGCTAGGCAGCCACTCATTAGCCTCCCCCAAAATCTCCTACAGCCCTGGGTGAATGAGACAGGGGTCTAGGGGTGCTCACTGTGCCCTCATACATGGAGAAACTCCTGCTGCCATCACCCCTCGGTCCCCTCAGCCCATCCTACCTTGGACACCCCATCAGTGCCAGCACAGGGGTCCCTTCACCCTCCCACCCCTCACCACGAGCAGCTCACCCTGCCCAGGCCCACACACACCCACAGCAGGAGCCGCTTTCTGCTGCCAAAGAACTTTGGGGTTGGGTTGGGTTGGTTTGTTTGCTCGTTTATTACGCAACCAGCATGGCAGAGCTCGCTCGCTGTGACAGTGAACAAACCCCACCTTGAGCAGAACCACCCCTCCCCTCTGGAGCAAGCTGTGGCATTATTTACACCGGGTGGGCTCTGCACAAGTCCCTCCACAGCAGCTGTGCACAGGCCGGGTACACACAGAGAGATTTCCCCCTCCCAGTACAGTTCAAGAGACAAATTGTCCAGTGATTTGTTTGCGTTTGTACAAGTTACAAAGTTGGCAAAACTTAAGTTTAAACTCGGGATTTTGGAATAGTTTAAATGTGAGTTTCTCTCACCCTGCTGTGAGATTTTGGGGTGCTTGGGGATGCCCTGGTAGGGAGAACGAGGGCCAGAGGGGGAACACCACAACCTACAGGAGCAGCAGCTCCTCCTTTCCCAGAACCACCCTCCCTGGGTCCACACCTGAGCAGGTAAAGTGGGGCCATCCCTCTGCAGCCTCCAGGTCCAGGGGGGATCCTCACCAAGCTGCTCTGGCTCTCCTGCCTACACACTGCCAGCTCACTGCTGTGACACAAATTAATTAACCTGCAGCAGGAGGATGCTCTGCTCCTGCACCGCAGCACGGGGGCTCAGAGCTCCCCATGGGAGCTGCTGCTGCTGCTGTAGTGCCCTCCTCAGAGTGCCTCCAACCCTGTGGAGGCACAGCAAGACAGTGCCAAAACCAAGCAGTGCTGTGGCCAAGTGTGGGGCTGAGCTCTCAGCATGGGGAGATCCCCAAGAATAGGATCCCACTGGAGCAAAACCCACCTGTGCTGGCCTCAGCTGGTCTCCTGCATCCCTGGGCTGCTCCCCCAGGCTGGGGCAGGTGGGATGGGGGTACATGGCACAGGGCCTGAGCTCCTGCACAGAGCTGGAACATCAGCAATGTTGTCATGTTCCCCCTGCAGGAACAATGCCCAAGGATCCCACTGAGCAGGGGGCGAGGCTGCTGGAGCCCTGCAGTGTCTCAGTGTCACCAGTGCCACCCCAGCACCTTCGCGTGCTCCCAGCCCACGCTGCCCTGCCCCGCAGGCGGGTGACATCTCCCCAACCATCCACCCATCAGCACTAAGCCACAAACCCCACAAGGGCTGCAACACCCTCACCAATACCTTAGAACCCTTCTGCCATGCTCGTGGCACAGCCTCAGGTATTGCTGCGCTTTGGGCTCCTGGCCAGCCCCAGCCCCTCACCTTGCACACAGAGAAAACACAGTGGGAGTGGGAGGAGAAGAGAAACACGGCTCTGGGGTGGCACTCAAGGGTGGCACAGGCCCTTCCCTGCATCCCACAGCTCCGGTGCTGCCCATGCTGCTGGTGAATGCTGCCCATGGCCCTCGCTGATGTCCCCACACCTGCCTGCAGGGCTGGCACGGGGTGCCCATGGGTGAGAGACCCGAATGCCACCGCAGCACCTGCAGCCCTGGCGTGCTGTGCCACCTACCCCTGGTGGGACCCCGAGGCAGCAGCTCCAGTGCCCTCCCTCTGGCCGGGCTCAGCCCTCGCCGGGTCACTGGCAGGGTCTGGTGGCACTGCCAGCTCTGCAGCCACCATCCATCCGCTCACAGCGCCTTCCTGACATCTGCAGACACCAAGCAGCACACAGTATTGCTACTGTGCCAAGTGGGAACTTTATTCTTTGTTGTGGTTGGGGTTTTTTCCGCTATTTTTTCCGAATCAGCTAAGGAGGCGGCTTTGAAGATGGGTCAGATTTGGATAATTCTTTTTTTTTCCCAGCAGAATCTGCAACATTTTAATAGCGTTTTGCCCAGACATCAGCTCTGTGAGTTTGTACAGCTCAGAGCCACAGAGACACCAGCAGCAATAACCTGGGAACGCAAAAACTTTCCACATCGCTTGTGCATTGTCTCGGATTTTTTTCTTAAAAAAAAAAAAAAAAAATAAAAGCACAACGGAAAAGACACAAACATTGATGAACATTTAAAAACCTGTACATTGTAAAAAAACAAAACAAAAAAATAAAACCCAACAGGAAAAAAAAAACAAACAAAACAAACCCCAAACAAACAACAAACACCATCATTCTCTTGCTTTGAAATCAGAATCAACCTGGGAACGTTGCAGGGGGAAAAGAAAGATCCGTGGGGAAGGTGAGGGCGCCTGAGCCCGCGGGGCTGCCGGAGGCTGCGGGGCTGGGCCGGCCTGGGGCTCCTCTAGCGTATAGAATGCAAAGCATTTATTACATTTTATTTTTTTTTTCTTTTTTTTGCCATTTGTTTTTCCCCCCAGAGCGAGAAAGCAGAAGTGAATGAAAAAAAGTCTAATATTTTTGTTCTTTAACCATGTAACTGCAGATATGAGCCAACATCATGGAATGAAAAAAATAATGTAAAGTAGAGCATTCGTGTGTATCACAAAAATACAATAAAAACTTTTTTTTAACTTTTTTTCCTTTTTTTTTGTTTTTTTTAAAGTTTCCTGTGAACTCCCTGCCACGCTGGCCTCCTGCCCACTCTGCCCCTGCCCTGGCCAGCTTGGAGGGCTCTGGAGAATCAATGTCTACAACCAGCAAAGGTGTGTGTAACGGGGGGCCCTGCAACCATGGCAAGATTTTTGTTTGGTTTTTTTTTTAAACTAAGTACATACATTCTCCTGACTCCCAGATAACTTTGATGGATCATTGTTACCTTCTTTTTTTTTAAACCCTTCCATACAATGGACAAATGCATCAAAGCCTCCATGTAAGAACAGAACCTCTTTTACAGCATGTAATACTGTGTTTTGTTTAAGTCCTTCCTTGCGTAAAATATTGACATAATTCACTGAAGGTATCAAAAATATACCCTGTAGACCAATACAATTTACAATTGCCTTTTCTCACCATTCAGAAAACAATGCACTTAAAGCAACCGAGCCCTCGGTGGGCAGCGCGTGAGCCAGCCCGGGACGTCCCTGCCTGCTCCGAGGGACCCGGGATTGCTTCCATCGAAGGGACCAGGATTTTTTGTGGGTTTTTTTTTTTAAGAAACAGCTCTTCTCTCCCTCCCCTGCCCGCTCCTCCCAGCCATGTTCCAAGTGTGTCGTGGCGGGGCTGATCCGTCCTGTGACACGGGAATGCCGGGCACCAGCCCTCGGATCAGCCAGGGAACCGACCCGGGGCGCTCCGTCCTGTTTCACTTCTCAACCGTCTTTTTGTGGTTTTTTTTAAAATCTTTTCTTTAACCCGCTCAAGGTTTTGCAATTCTGAGGCACATCCCCATGGCCGGGTCCGGGGGAGCATCCCCTGCCCGCTGCCAGCTCCGCAGAACATCCCGCAGCCCCCGTGGGACGGGGCCGGCAGAGCGTCCCAGCGGCCCCGGGACGGACACACGGCCGCTCTCGGTCCCTCTGGAGCACGGGGGACACCGCCCAGCACGGCTGCCAAGATCGAAGATGGGTTCCTTGGGTTTTGTCTCGTTAAGGCTTTTTTCTTTTCTTTATCAGACCGAAGAGGATGCAGAAATTTCCAGATGTTGAGAAAGAAAAAAAAAAATAACCCAAACAAAATTAAAAAAAAAAAAAGAAAAGAAAAAAAACAAACCAAAACCATCATCCCCACCGATTTGGCTGGTTGGGAGGGAAGGGATAAAAAAAAAAAGAAAAAAAAAAGAAGAGGGAAAAATGAAACAGCTCTGCTCCTGCATCTTCGCTCGTGAGAGCCGGCGGGGCCGGGGTGTGGGCGCTCGCCCCGGGTGTCCCGCTCGCTCCCCGTGCCCCGGGTTTGGTCGCCGTCTCCCTGCCCCTGGCTCCTCTCATTCACTGTCCGAAAGGGTTTCGTACTGGGAGCAGAGCAGGGGCTTGGGCTCCTCGTCCCAAGCGTGGTGCTGGCTGCCGGGGGTGCCCTGTGGCAGCGGGGCGCTGGGCGCTGCCGTCACCACCCCGCTGGGAAGCCGCATGGTCAGCGGGTTGTAGGGGAACGGCGTCGAACCTGCACGGACGGGAGAGGGAGCAGAGTCAGCATCGGGGGTGGCCGTGTCCCCGCTCCCTGCAGCCTCCCCAGGGTGGCACGGCCGCTTCGGGGACCGTCCCCTCCTGCCCTACCTGCGGATGACGGCCTGTCCTCCCAGACGCGGTTGGTGAGGGGAGTCCTGCGGTTGCAGTCGCCCTCCGAGTGCACCGAGGACACCGAGGGCGGCCGCTCGCCCGAGGACAGACCCGGAGCTGGAGACTTGGCCTTGCGGCTGTTGGGTCTGGCAGCGATCTTTGGCTTCCCCCCTCCTCCTGCAAAGAGAGGCACCCGCTGTCACCCGGCTCCTCGTGACAGCACTCAGGGCTTGGGGAAGGGGTGCGGGTTCCCAGCGCTTCCCTTTTAGGAGCTTTGCAAAAATGGCTCGTGGCAGGAGGAAAGCTCACCCCGGGCCGACGGCAGCACGGCGGGGAATGGCGGTGGGGCGGGTGGAGGAGGGTTCTGCTCCCTCCTGGGCTGCTCCACTTTGTGGGTTGATGCCACCGAGTGTCCCGTGGAGGGACGCGGGGCAGGAGAGGCCGAGTGGCTTTGGCCGTTTCCCTGCAGGATCTGCTCCCGGAGCTGGCTCGTGGCTCAGCCCACAAACGCGGCTCACGAACGGCTCCGTGTGCTGCCCCACACACACAGAACCGCCCAGAACTGCGGGGTGCCAGAGCCCTGAGCACACTCCCCGTTCTCATGGTCTGCATGGCCAGGATGGTCTTTCATCCCTCCTTACAGCAGAATCCCTGGGGATGTTTAGTTTTTAAAAGGTTTGAAGCCAGAAGGGGCTCTGTGGGGCAGGTGAGCTCAGCTCCCTTAGGGAAGCTCCCCAAGGGGGAGGGATGGATGGGCTCTGCATCCCACCCTGCCATCCAGCAGGCATGGGGAGGCACAGCTGGAAGAAGCTGCTGGTTTCATGCAGGAGCCAGAAAAGCTTTTCTGCAAAAAGCTTTAGAGTGCCTGGTGTTAGCTGACCCAGAGAGGTGTGAGCTGACCTGGAGGAAGGTGCACGTGTGCACCCAGGATCTACTCCTGGGCCAGGGGCTCTGTGCCTGGATTCCCGAGGCTGATCCCTGGCAGTGGTGTCATGCTCTGTGCATGAAGCACTCTGCCCTTGTGTGTGGGGGACAAATGCTTCCCCCATCCGTCCCTCGTCCCTCTCCTCCCTCCCTTTCTTAAGGGGGGATTTGTGCAGCCACCCTCTCATCTCCGCTCAAGTCTCCCCAAAGCTGAGCAGACCCTGCCATGGGGCTCTGCAAGCCCCACCAGGGCCTATGGGGCAGCTCATCTCCAGCTCTCCTCTCTTATCATACCTCAGGCATCACTTTTATCTCCCTTACAATCTCCCTCTTGGTCCAGGCACTCCCAGATCCCATACCCCCATCCCAGGTTGGATTCTGCCCTGACACCCCCAGAGACTGGAGTGGGGTGGAAAATGCTACCCTGCCCTGTGTCCTTTACACCAGCCCTTCTCAGCACCTTCCCCTCTTTTGGCAGCAGTGATCCCACTCGGGGTTTAAAGACAGTTGGGGCTTGCTATTTAAGTTTATGCCTTTTTGATTTTTTGGGTGTGGGGGAGTTCCACCCCCATAAACTTCTCCATTGTGTAAAAAAAATATAGGAAAAGGAGATATTAAAAACCAACAAATAGGGAAAGGAGCAAGTCAGTGGTTTAGAGAAAGCAACAGCACCTTTGGAGACTATTAAATTAACATCAAACAGGATTAATCAGCAGATCCACAAAGCTCAAAGCTGGGGCAGGGAAGGGAAGAGAAGAAAACCAAAACGAAAAAAAATGGGGAGGGGAGGAATAAATCCCCCCGTAAATGGGGAAATAAAAGGGCTGAGAATTAATAACACAGAGAGAGTGAAGGTGGAGAGGGCTGCAGACCTGGCAAGGAGCGCACGTCCTCGTTTCGTCCATCAGCAGGAGTTATGGGCATAGCAGCGGGCAGGCTTGCACTGGCATTCAGAGAGTTAAAAGCATTGGCACTGAGAGGTGAGCGCTCTTCCCACTGCTCGTCATATTTACCCATTAGGGCTTTCCTAATTATTGCCTCCAACCCCATGTTGGTACTGGAATTCTCTTGGACCGACTGGCTCCTACAACTGATTAGCCCTGGGAGATACGGGAGAGGGAGGAGAGAGGGGTCGGGAGATGGGGGGGAGCCAAATGAGAAGAAAGATGGGGGGGACGGGGAAAGGGGGAGAAAGGAGACAAGGGAGAAGGGAAGAAACAAACAGTCAGCACATTCTCGCAAAGCAACAAACTTTGTCATCTTGTTCTTTAAAGCACTGCGATGCACCCGTCCTCCTCCTCCTCCTCCTCCTCCTCCTCCCGCTCCATCCCGCCCCGGGGCTCGGCGGGGGCTGGCGTGGGACGGATGGGACTCACTCTGGGATCTGGGCTTTGGGAAGGTTCCCCGGGGCCAGGGGCTGGGGACAAGGGTTTGTCACTGAGCCCCAGGGAGCATCTCCAAGGAGCAGGGGCTGTGATCCCAACCCAGCCAGGCTCGGCATGGGGGCAGGAGGAAAGTCATTTGGATGTGGGGTCCCTGTGCACACATAGCAAAAGTCAGTGTGCCAGGAATTTGGAGGCCGGGGCGGTTTCCCATAAAGGAAATCAGGGAAGGAAGAAGGAGTACCCCATAAAAACACTTGATGAGAAAGATGTGCGTGGATTTGGCCCTGGGGTGGTGACAGGATGCAGGCAGCCCCCAGAGCTGCCGGTGTGGGCTGGGCTACATGGGGAGAGGGGAGCGTCCTGCTGTCCCTCCTCCAGCTCTCTGCAAGCCCCCTGCCCCCGTCCCCCTCTCTCCCAGGCCGGGTTCCCTGGGGCCCAGCGCCCCCCGGGCTGTGGGACAGGATGCAGAGGCGAGGTGTGGGGTGAGTCTCAAGCCATGCAGTTATGGAGCAGCACCGCACAGGGACCAGAGGCTCGGCCGCGCCACCGCCATTCCCGGGGTGGCGCTTACAGGGAACAAGCAAGGGCAAAATACAGACACGAAACTGCCAGGCCCCCAGCTGAGCCCATCCTGGGGTGTTTGCTCTGGGATCCCTGCCCCTCTGCTTGGAAAGGGACAGATCCCAGGTTCCTGGAAACCTGGTCTGAATATTTGTCTTGCTGTAAGAACAGGCAGGGTCTTTGCTGGTCCCCTCTAGCCTAAACTGATTCTCAAATCTTGTCTGCCAGGTCCCTTCAGTTCCCACCTGGCTGCACCTGCTCATCCCAAAGGCTGATGCCAGCTCACTTCTTCTCCCACACTCATTTCCCCTGGCAAGCAGTCCTATACCACTGGCCCTCCCACAGCACCAAACCCCTGCCCACAGCACTTCCTGCCCTTGGCTGTGGGAAACCTGCTGTTCTCCTACTTAAAACTAACAACCTGAAGGCATTCCTGCTGTAGGAGAGCATTAATTCTTAATCAATTAAGTAGCAATTAGTATTCCTCAGCGGGGATTCACTCCATCCGTGAGTGCACCCGGACATGTTGCAGGTGGCAACAGGGTGACAGTTTCCCACTGTCATTCCCCCTGGGCTGGTGCTGGGCCTGAGCACTCCTCCAACTCCCAGGAGACACCTCCTCCTGCCCCAGCACCCCTCATGTCCCTTTTGGTCCTCAACATCGCCACTTTGCCCAGCACAGGGTGCTGCTCTTGCCCCAGTTTGCTTTTGTAACTGGCTCCTGCATCCTGCCCAGCCCAAAGTGACAGACCCCACTGCCCACCCTCACACTCCCCTTTGCCACTGCCCTCCCACCCACCCACAAGGTCCCACCAAGAGCTGGGTGCTCTCTCCAGGCGTGAGGTCCACCTTGCTAAGATGGTTTAACCCTCTGATGGCATCAGATGCCCAACCCTTGCTTGACCTTTAACCTCAAACTCTGCCAGGCTTTCCAAGGAATTACACTGCCCTTTCTCCAACCCAGCTGCAGGGAGTTATGGTGTGTCCCGAGGCTTCTGCATCCCAGCAACTGTTACACTTGGTTTTAAGGGAAAACAGAACAAAGGAGATGCTTAAATCTACTGAGCCTCCTGCTCTCCATAGCTGTAAGCCCTGTGGGAAACGAGGTACAGGTATGTGGGGAGTTACCTGCTCCAGTAATCGCTGGCATGTTGAAAATCTCTGTCCCAGGCTGCCCCACATCTGGAGAAAAACAAAGAAGCCCTTCAGCATGGAGAGCAGCACGTGCAGGTTAGTGCCTGGGAGGACCTGCCATGGCAGCCATGACAAGACTCCCATCTCTGCACAGCACTCTGGACAGCAGCCCAGCTCCCCCAGGCACTGGGGTGGGACTGTGGGTGCTGACTGGGACCAGGAATAACTCCCAGTGCCTTTGGGAGATCCACAGTGGGCACCTTCACCAGGTGGGAAAGGGCAAAACAGCAGAGCCCTGCAAGCCAGGGCAATGTCTTTGTGCTCAGTGCTGGCCACCCTCCCTTCCTGCCTCCTGCCCTTGGGATTACAAACTCCAAGGAGCCAAACCCTCTCTCCTGCCCATGGGATTTTCAAAGGCTCAATGCTCCCTATCCATGGAGCAGGTCTGGGCAGCAGAGAGGGCAAGGAGGAGGAAAAGAAATGTTAAATCAATATTTTCCCTCTTAGCTGAGCTGTTTGACTTGGATATTGCTTTCTTTAGAATAACAGAAATTCTCATCAAATAAGAGGCGTATCCAATTTCTATATATTTTCTCTTGATAAGGGAAAGTGTGGAAGGTCAGGGGGTTCAGCCACACGTCCCCAAAGGGGCATAACAATACTGTTGACTCATGGTAACATCATCCAGGAGACGAGACAGCTTGGTCCCTCTTATCTGATGCAGCTGTTGTAAGATGGATTCAAATTGAATTAGTATTGACTGGATAATGCTGGGCTAAATTAAATTATGATCCTATCTACTCTATTAGCGGTTAATGAACGAACAGGCTGAATTTCTAATCTGAGCCAGCCTGGTTAGTTTTACAGAGCTGCACCAATATTGATGTAGGGCTTAAAGTAAGGTTGGGGGGAGATGCATCTCAAGGAGGAAGGATTCAGCTTGGCTGGCCAGTCATTAAAATATCAATTGCTCTTAAGTGTCCTCCATGCTCAGCTCATTATTTCCTTCCTACTGAGGTTATCTGGTGTGGGTGGGATTGACAGCCTCAGAGCACGGAGACAGAGCTGGGAAGTCTCCCACTGCCCCCCCCAGATACACACAGTCACTGCTGGCACCAGAACAGAGCATTCTAGGAAACATTTGGACCTTGCAGTTCAGAGAATCACAGAATAATCTGAGCTGGAAGAGACCCACAAGGACCACTGAGTCTGACTCTTCAGTGCAGACAGAGCTGTCTGGGAGCTCCCAGCCCTTTAACACAGCAGCACCCATTCCCAAATCTCCTGTGCTTCGTGTGTCCTCGAGGCTTTTCCTCCCCTGGTGCCCTGCATTCCCCACAGGTTCTTACTGTACTCCGTCTCGTTTTTGTTGGTCGTGCTGAGCTTCTTGATGATCTCCTGCTTCTTGGACTTTACCATGGCAGAGTTGCTTTCAGTCAGCTTGCTGAAGAAAGCTGGACGCTGAGTGTTGTTTCCTGGGGACTTGGACCCCATCCTGCAGAGAAAAAGACCATTGGAAACCTCTGCAACGTCCACTGCACAAAGTCCTACCTAAAGAGCCTCTCCCCCCGGTGTGACTCTCAGGATCAGGCTGGGAGCTCCTGGGATACTCAGCACCTCCAACCTCTCTCCCTGTCCCAAGGATAAATGCACCCCATGGTACTGAACAGCCGTGACAAATACAGCCCCTGGGATGGGACACAGCTTTGGGCAGCAAGGAAAGCAGCCTGGCCAGGCCGTGTGTGGGGCCATCCCCCCTCCCCAGCTGCCCCCAGGCCGTACCTCTGGTCCATGGGCTCTCCCTCGCGGAACAGGACGGGGTACGGGGCGCTCTTGGCGTGCTCAGCCTCTCCCGCGCCGTCGGGTGGGGACACGGGCTCGATGCAGCTGTCCGGCCCCCCTGCTGCTGCCTTGGCCTGCTCCGGGGACCTGGGCAGCAAGGGGACATGCCATCAGTGCACTGTGACAGCCCCTGTCCCTGTGCAGCACCTCGGGACTGGGAGGGGAAAGGATTCCTGCAGCATGGGCCACAGGGACAGCGGGGTTTGGGCAGGGAGAGCTGGGCTGAGCCAAGCCCTGGGACTGAACCCCCCAGACTGGGACAGCTGAGCCACCCCAGCACAGGAGGGACCTGCTGGTGGCAGGGACACATGGATGGATGCCTGTGGAGGGCTGTGACAGTAACCTTTTGGAGACACTGCTTTTGATTCTATTTGTGAACACAGCGGAGGCAGAACCTGCCACCTCCCATTCTCCTTGTCAGGGCCACACAGGAGCTGGGTGGCTGCAGGAGGGGCCTGGAGCTGGGGCAGCTTGGGGAGGATCACTACTGGCCCCTGATGCCTGCCTGTGGCCAGAGCTGGGAGACAGCCAAACTCCAGTCTGCGAGGAATTCCTCACAGCCAGTTCTGGGAATTCACATCTTTGTTCTTTCTGTGGTTTCTCTTTTTTCCCCAGTTTTTTCATCATTGGGTGGTCAGGGCTGGGCTTTTTTCCTTCAAGTTGTAAAGCCAAGTCCAGGACCATGCAGAGCTGGGAAGAACAATCCCATTTACTGACAAGGCACCACTCATTCCTGGATACATCTGGGTGGGTGTTTGGGTGGGAAGAAAGACCCATTTTTAATTCCATACAACAGCAATCAGACCTGCCTTGTAGCAGCAAGGGGATTTGAAAGTGACTTTAATACATATACAGGTGGTGCCTGAAATGAACAATGCCAGTTGTCAGGGCACCTGTGTCTAATAAACTGCTGATTCACTTTGAAAGATGAAGATAAAATTAACTTTGAACCAATGGAAAACATGTTGCTTCAGGTTTTTTGGAATCATCTGTGGTCAGGGACTGAGAACAGTGACAGGACAGGAGGCAACAGGCACAAACAAAACACATAGAATTCCATCCCAACACAAGGAAACTCTTTTTTCCTGTCGAAGTGCTGAAATGCTGGGAACAGGTTGGCCAGAGAGCTGCTGTCTGCAACAGTGGAGATATTCTGAACCCAAGCAGCCAGGACCCAGGGTAACCTGCTCAGGAGATCACTGCTGGGTGATCTCAAGAGATCCCTTCCCACCTAAACCATCCTGTGACACCGGCCAGATTGGGAAGAGAATTATGCATGGAATCTAAAGAATACCTCTAGGACAACAGGGATGGCAAGAGGCACCACCCCAGGGGAAAGATGCCCAGATGAGAAAGGAGCTGGGCTGTGTAAGCAGGAAATCCCCACAGCACCAAGCCTGGGAGAGCAAAGCCAAACTCCAATCTGCCCCGTGCAACCCCTCAGCGCTGTGCCAGGCAGCCAAGGGCACCCACCCGACCTCCCCTGCGCTCCCTGGGTCCGTGTGAGCTCAGGCTGGCCCACACCCACCTGTGCCAGCCCCTGGGCTCACCTTTTCCCCCCTTCTCCCTGGGGGGAGATGCGTGAGGCCGTGCTGTGCTCCTGCTGCTGCAGGAAGGCCTCGCTGGGCGTGCGGCGCAGGTCCAGCACCGGGCACGCGGCCCCGGGGAACGAGTACAGCGGCGCCTGCAGGTGCGAGTTCAGCTGCTGCGGGTGGTGCCGCGTGTAGTCCTGCGTGATCACCTCCTGCAGGAGAAACCACGGTCAGAAACGGGGCTGGCTTCAACCTCTGTCCTGAGGGTGAGCAGGGGGGAAAGAGGCTGATTTGTCCCCGCAAATGGAACTTCTGCCTCCTGTCTGCAACGGGTTGTTGGGCTTCTTGGGGACACAAATACCTGGGCTGAACACTCGTGATGCCCCCTGCTCTCCAGCCCCCAGCTAGAGGAGCTGAGGTCTCCAGTGTCACTCCCACATCCCCACCAGACATGTTTCACTGAGCTCCTCCCTCCCCCTGGAGCCCCAGCAGGAAGGGGATGGGGTGGATGAGGTTAGTTACACTGATGTGCTGGGCCAGCGTGACCACGCGCTGGTTCATGCCCTTGATGCTCTGGCTGGACTGCAGGGGCTGGCACTGGGGGCCGTCGGGCTGCCGCAGGTGCTGCAGGTGAGCGGATTCAGGAGCCGAGGCCTTCAGCGAGCCTGGGGGGCACCAAGGAGAGAGCAGGAATGAGATGACATCTGTGTCCCCTTCTCCAAATGCCATCCTAGCACTGGAGCACAGCCAGCCCCTGTTCTCACCTTGCTGCTTCTGCCTCAGGTCATGCTCTCCATGCCCCTTCTCTGTGTCCTGCAGCAGCTTGGCTCCTTTCTCATGGGACAGGCTGGGCGAGCTCACCGGACTCACTGCCTCCATCCGCTCGGGGCTGTAGCCTCCATGAAAGCCTGAGGAAATGAAGGGAGTTAAAACCAGGAGCTCACTTAGCTTTTCCCTAGCTCTGTTGCACCACCGCTTGTGGGTAGAGTCCCATGTTCAGCAAAGTGTGGGAAAAAGAGATGAGGGAAGACCTGGCAGGGCCACCTCTGGTGTCCAGATGTGGTGGCTGCTGTGAAGAGGTGATGTCTCATTCCTGCAGAACTGGACACTCAGCAGCTCTCGGTGACAGCATGAGATCCAGGGACCAAATCCAACCTCTGCAGGTTCACAGTTTGTTCCCCCATTTTCTCCACCCACTGGAACCCCCACACTATGCCCAGAGAGACAGCGATGCCCAGAGTGGAGGAGGCTGCACAAGAGGTCTCCAAGTGCATCCACAGTCCTGGAACACACTGCTAGAAGGTGCCAGGACCAGACATGACTGAGGGGTGGGATGGGATGCAGCTCTTCTCCCAGCCATGCTGCTGTACCCTCTCCATCCTTGGGATATGGGAAGAGGAGTGGGACAGGAACTCCAAGTGCTGATGGCCAAGGCAGCTGCTGCAACTTAAAGATGGGGTCCCACCAACCTCCCCAAAGGCTGCTTGTTGCTTCTGCATGCTAGTGGGAGCTTGGATGAGTGTTCTGGTTGAAGGTTGGTCCCATCAAGAATGACCCACACCTTGAAATCCATCCCCCTCCCTGCACTTTCTACTGGAATAACTAATCCTAGTGCTTTTCTCTCTTACACAAGATTCCTCTTAGGTGGTTCCAGTGGTCTGCTCTGGAAATGGCTGCTGAGCATGGTTGGCTGAGTGATCCCACAACAGCCACGGCGCCCACCTTGGGCAGCATCCAGTACCAGCACCCTGAGTGAGGTCACCCTGAGCACAGAGACCCCATCCAAGCTGAGACCCACAAAGCCCTCAGAGACCCTGCAGCTCATGAGCAGGGAAGTGCTTGTCTGATGGCCAGCAGCCTTGTCACGCTCACAATCCCAGTTCTCCACTTTGCTCCTTTGATTTATTACCCACAACTGTTCTTTACAGACTGCCTGGGAATTTCTAAGGATGGGGAAATCAAAATTAGCAAATGGCTATTGTCTGTATAAAGCAATACCAGGAACTGGACAACATTTGCAAAACAGGACTTGGCAACTGGAAAAACTAAAAGAGGGTGGAAGAAGGGAAGATCCTTAAAACAAGCAAAAATAAAAAAGTCTGGAATAACACAACGGCCAGGAAGCAGAGGGACAAGCACACTTGGGGAGCTGATGGAGTCAATATCCAAATGTGCAACTGAAAATAAGAAGTAATGAAATAAAATGGGTGTCAGGCCACAGGTCTCTCACCTCTGCCCTTCAATTTCTGATCATCACTAGTGGGGTGGTTACTCAGCGAGCCTCTTTCTTGCTGGCCCTTATCACAAGACATTTGGTGCGTGATAATCACATCTATGAAGTTGGCCGCTGTCATGGTGCTCTTACCGAGTGCTCGGAGCTCCTGCTCCTGCATGGAGAAGCGTTTACTCTGACTCTTTTCTCTACTGTGCTGCTCGGAGCCCGAGGCTGCATGCTGCTGGTCCAGAGGGTGGTGGTGCTGCTGGCTTTTCCCCTGTCCTCTGCCATAGTGATGAGAGGAGCCAGGTCCGGAGGCGGGCAAAGGTCTCGACTCCATGGCTTTAATGGGAGAAGGCGACTGCTCCAGGTTGGCCCCGCTGGGCAGCTTTGAGGTGTAGACGTTGTTGTCAGTCTGGGCTCGCTCTGCCTTGGCTTCCCTCCCCCTCGAGGACTCTTTCTGCAGGATGGCTGGGTCCAGGGGGGCTGCGTAGCCGTCGGCCGCGCTGAGCGAGGAGCGCAGGCTGGAGGCCGAGGGGAAGGCGGCAGAGCGGATCGGTGACGTGGTAGTGGTGGAGGAGGATCTGCAAGGAAAATGAAGGCAAGGCCAAGGTGAGAGAAGCACATGGAGAAAGGGAATGCTGTTACCAGAGCCTCAGTGTTCAGCTTTGCCTGGTGAGCTCCTTCCAGGCCTGCTGAGCATATGGCTGGGCCATGCAGGGCCAGTGAGGAAGGATTGGATGGAGCCTCCACAGTAACTGGCCACAGGGTATTGGGCCTGAATGCATTGACTGGAGAACATAAAACCCATGGACAGGTCCCAGAGACCTTGATAACTCCACCACCAGGCAATCTTCAGCAAGAGGAGTAATACCCATATTTGGGCACAGGTACACTCCTACGTTTTCTCCCAGCAGCAGGAAAAGCAAAAGACTTGGGGCACCAAAATGTACCTCTCCCCACCACAACCTCCCTGAAAGCCTCAATCCCGCTCCCACTGAGACTGAAGGGAAAACAACTCCCAGTCCTTCCTCTCAGAGGTGCTCATTAATTAAGTGCTGGTGCAGGCAAGCGCTGGAAACCATGGTGGGGGGCACGTACCGTAGGACGGAAGGGGTGGGGGTCTCCGAGGAAATGATCTTCATGCCGGTGTTGTGGAGCACGCTGGGGCGCTGCTGGATGGTCTCGTGGGTGCGGGGTGACACGGGAGAGTGCTGGTGGCTGTGAGAGTGGGAGGACGAACGGCTGCTGGACTGCTCCGTACCTGGGGAGAGCACAAGGAAGGGATTTAGCTCTCTGTCCAACAGCCCTAACCCTACCACCCAGCACAGGTCCCACGGTGGAGGATGGACTCCTCCCCAGCCTACCTGGTCTCCAGATGGGTGCATGCTCCACTGTGGTGGAGGCTAGGATGGATTTTTCACGCTCCCTCTCTCGTTCCCGCTCCCGTTCCCGTTCCCGTTCGGACACCGACGATCCTGACTGTTTGGTCATGTGCGTGGGCCCTCCTGAAACCCAACCAAGAGGCAGTGAGAGGGCTGCAGACACAGCAATTCTCCCTGGGAATGCTGCCTGCTCTTCACATCGCTGTGTATGCAGAGCAGATAAGGAATGGCTCCATCCAAGGTCACCTGGAGCAGGACAGACGAGGGCAACCAGCGTGACAAAACCCAGACAAATCATGGAATAGCTGTCCTGGTGCTGTCTCCAGGGTATGACCTTCCACAGAACTGTTTTCTTTGGGGAAGAAGGAGGAAAAGCAAGGAAGCCCTCAACAAGCAGGAAGAGAGGGAGTCAGTCCCTTAGTGGGACTGGATTAATTTGCGGTCTCCTAGTCTGTCCTGGCATGCTGAGCCCATGGCCTTGGATTGGTTATGAGCATTCTCCTCAATCATTTTCCCACTGGAAAAGCAACCTCCAGCATTACCTGGGGAGAGCGGGGAGCTGCTGTGCCGGCTGCCGAAGGTCTGGGGGGGTCCAGGGATGTAGGTGATGCGGTCCATGGTGGTGGCAGAGGTGCCGGGGGTAGGGGGCACGAGGACGGGCAGGTGTGGCACTTGGGACAGGTCGATGATGCCTGCAGAGAGAAGCGAGAGGACTGTCAGGACAACGCTGAGCTGCTGCAAGCTTGGCCGTGCTGGACCTGGCGGTGCCAGCCTGACCCAGCCTCCTTCTCCCCTGCTGCTCCCAAACCCCTGGGCAGTGCTGTTCTGGAGGACCTGCTGCATAGTTGAGGGCGAGGGAGGGCTCCCGGGGTGACAGCCCGCGCAGCATGTCTGCCCGCTGCGCCATGGCCGTGGCTGCGGCGTTGTGGTGCATCTGCTGCGACGTGATGTAGTCGTTGATGATGGTCTGGCGGTTCTCCATGGCCGCCGTGTCCGGGTAGCCCCGGATGAGGTACGGGGGGTACAGGTGTGGGTACGTGGGGCTTGGAGCCAGATGCCTTGGCAGGTAGTAAGCAGCAGCTGGGAGAGAAAATAATGTAGATGTGAAACCCCGGAGATCTCAGGCTTTTGGAGCATAAGGAAAATAAAAAACCGTGCCCCCAGCCCAGCTCCTACTTACACGAGGCCTTCAACACCTTCTACTGCTCATAGCCACTTGATGACTCCTAGCTAACCTAACAAACATGGCCCTCCCTCCAACAACAACCCTCATAGCAGAACTAACCATTGTAGTCGCACTTTTCAACTGATCCACCTTCAGAATTATCCTAACAGGAGCTGCAATCCTACTTCCCGCCTCATACACCCTATACATGCTAATAATGACACAACAAGGCACCCTCCCATCCCACATCACATCAGTCCAAAACTCCTCCACATGAGAACATCTCCTCGTAGCCCTACATACAATCCCCAAGGTACCTGCTTCCAGCTGGATCCCCCTCGGGATGGCGGCGGGGTCGAAGGGCAGCGGGATGTGCCCTCGGTACAGATCGACGCCGCTGACGCCGCGGAGCAGGTGCTCGTACGGGGAGATGGGGTGGTGGTGGTCGGGCACGGGGGCGTGCGGAGACTTGGAGTTGGTGAGCTCTCTCGATGTGGGGGTGATCTTTCTGTCCTGGGACACCGGCTTCCCAGCAGTGATGCTGCCTGCTGAGAGCAGAAGGAAATGAGTCAGAGATCGAGCACTGCGGCCAAGCCATGTCCCTGCGGGATGCCTCTGGCCAAGCATGTCCCACAGGGACAATCATAGCTACCCTGAACTTGAGGGGCCTTTCCCTCCTCCCTGCACTGCCATGCCCTGTTACACCATCAAGGTCAGGGTGGGCCAAGTCCCAGTTGCCTCTTGAGAGAGAGGCCTTTCCCAAATCATCCCTTCACCCCAGCACATCCATGCTGGGCAATCTGTGCATTCACCCTGGCCTGCACAAGCCGATGGTGGTGCAGCCTTGCTGCTAGCTCTTCAGCACAAGGAGGTCACTGCTGCTGTTAGTGAGAAGTGTGAACATCTCCCACCCGGTGTCCCAAGCACTGCTATTCTGCCCACCTATGGAAAAAGAGTGCTCTGGGATGCTGTTGGGACAGGGAGGACACTTTTGAAACACCAATGGCTTCACCAGCCTTGCCCCAAGTCTCCCTTTGGCTACCCTGGCGCAGGTGAGGTGCCTTCACTTCAAGAGTGTGAGCACCCCCAGGAAGGGCACTGAGCCCCAGCTGTCCCTGGCAGCCACCCCAGTGCCATGAGTCAGCTGTGGGCGGGGGGTGCTGCGAAGAACAGGTTCAGCAGGCACCTGCTGGGAATCACTCAGGCAGGTGGGGTCAGCAGCCACCTCCCATGCACCTCACCTGCTTGGCTGTTGGACATTTTACCATCAATAAAAGGTTTGCCAAGTACCTTCGTGCTGCCGTGGGGTGGACTCCCGTGTGGAGACTGGAGACCCTCTGTGCAAGTGGCTGCTGAAGGCCGTGCTGTGCCCTGCCTGGTGGTCCTCATAGCCCAGGGCACTTTGGTGGGGTTTGCCCGGCTCGGGTACAATCACAGGAGCCCCTCTGGCGATGGAGCCACCTGAGTTTGTCACAGGGCTTGGCCTGTTTTTCAGGCTCTCTTCATAAGCTCTTTCCAGATTCCTCGGGTCTTGGATGACATCCAGAGAATGCACAGAGTGAAAAGTCCTGCCGGGGCTGCCGATGATGGAGCGCACATCGTGCTTTTTGGTACTCGAGGAGGAAGAGCCGCTGTCATACTTCAGTGGGGTACCCTGGGGACAGGAGGCAGAGGGGACATCAAAGGGGCCTAGAACAGAAGGAGCCCAGTGACTGCATCCCACTGAGCTCCAACAGGACTCAGGGTGCCTCATTCAGTGGGTCAATACACAAGGGTTTCTCAGTCAAACAGCCAACAGCCGTCGGCAGAGCAGAGATAACCACTCGAGCAGGGCAGGGTGGAGGGCCCATCTTGCATGTCTTGTTGTGCTCCAACAAGATGATGATGATGAGTCACTGCCGAAGGCTGGCTGTGCCCATCACGCCTCTCTCCTACACACACTGTGAAATGGGACAGGACTGCAAGGTGCCATGGGAACCCTGCAAATATTTGGAGACCAACAGGAGATATCATGGCGTGTTTCATCCTAACTACTGGCCCTGCTGGGTTGCCACTTGCCCATGAAGGGAGGAGACCAAGTTTATGTGCACCAGAGTCACAAATGCTGAGGGCACAGAGTTGACTCTGTCCTTGGAAAAGAGGCAAATGTGTCCCCTTTTCTTTACACATGTAGATGGATCATTGCTTTCTTAACGTCCCAGGGGTGCCCTGGGCTTTGTATTTATCTGCAGGGAAGGATTAGAGGATGGTTTGGATTGGAAGGGATCCCTTCAAAGGATGGGGCAGGACAACCTGTACCCAAGCAGAGCGTCAGCTCTTAGCAGTGATGCAACACAAAGGTGTCTCTGCTCTCCTTTTACCTTGGGAATGGCTCCCAGGATCTGTGCAAGGGCAGCAGTGTGAGCAGGACTGATCTCATCCAGTGCTCTCTCCATACTCACCTGTGTGATGGAACCTTCCTTCAGAGGTCTGGTCAGAGAGATGTCTGGTGTGCGCCTCAGCTCCTCCCGGGGGATCTCATGGATTGATCTTCCTGCTTCTTTCACCGTGGCTACCAGGTCTTCGTGGGCTGATTTCATTTTCAGAGGAGTCAGATCATGAGATCTGACCTTGTAGGCATCAGATAAGTCCCTTGGTGGAGTGTTTTCCCTCTTGAGCTGTTTGGCTTCTCTTCTGAGGTAGTCCTCATGGGCCTCCACATAGGACCGAGGTATTCCTGCAACCCCCAAGCAGATGATGGATGCAGAGGGTGACTCCCCAGGCAGACCCTGAACTCCCAGTCCCCATGCAGATACTCACTTCTAGGGGGTCTCTAGTTAACACATGTAACTCAGGGACTGGTACCCAACTGAGCCCACAGAGCAGCTATACCACTAATGCAGCTGGTCCACCTCCCATTTACCACCACCTTCTGCACCCATTTCAAACTAATTTCAAGCTGCTTCACTGACAATTTTGTCCCTGACTTTGGCAGATTTCAGGTTGGTAGAAGCTGAGCAGGACTGAAAATCTCTCTGAGCACAAAGCAGGGGCTGCAAAGATCTGCAGCTGGACCTTGACGTGCCCATCCTTGCTTCCTCCTGTCCCACCCTGATGATGAGAACAAGGGGCCATGCACGTGAGGTGCTTCCCCTGCCCGTGCCCATCTTGTGCTCCCAGGTGTTACCTTGTGTAATCGAGCCTCGCATGTGATGCTGCTCCTTTAGGTTATGGGGACTGTGTCGGTCTGGAGGGATCGCTCGACCCATGAGACCTAGAAGAGATCCAAGAGGGAAAGTCAGGCTGTGACACAGCAATTAATTTACCATGAATACACGACAGCGTTACCAGGGATGCCTGGGACAATCAGGATAAATACCGACAATTTCTAAATTATTATTTATTTTTTCCTTTTTTTAAATGTGCTTTTTTCTTTTTTATTCCTGGAGCTGGTCTGTCAGGACAGACACTCAAAGCAAACAGGCCAGTCTACATTCTGGGTTTTTTTCCCCATGCTGGTCAGATGCTGTCCTGTTGGGATATCAGCTAACCACTGCCAGAACACTGGCACAGGAAGATGCACCATGCAGACAGGAGACAAGACGAGATCTCCACAGGTCAGTAACATAACCCAGGTGAAAGGTTTCTGGCAGACCCACCTTCAATGCTGGTAGATAAGGTATCACGGGCTGATAAGCCCCGGCTGATCCTCCCCTCCATCATATCATAGGTCCGCTTAGTTCCTGTGGTCTCATGGGAAGCTCCCGAGCTCCTGCTGTCTTCTTTGGGACACTGAGAAGCAGCAACTCCACCTGCAGGGGGGAACACCAAGAGGCATGGAAAGTCAGCACGGGCCAGGAGAGGGTGTTTACTGCTGTTTGTGTGCGTTGCTGAGGGGTCAGATCTCATCCCAGCATCAGCCGCCGCTACGCGGTGCCAGAAACATTGCACGCGATTGGCTTCCAGGAAATTCAGCTGGTGTTCTCTCCCCTCCCTGCCTGCCTCAGACTCCAGATCTGTGCCTCCCTCTTGGGTAGGAGCATCCACCCAGTCATGTCCCATTCCCTCCCTCCCTGGTGGGGCCATCCCGTAGGCAGCGGGACAGCCCTGAGCCAGTGGGAGCAGCTGCAGTTCCACTGAACTTGACTCTGTGGGTCTGGGGAGTTTTGGGTTTTTTATCTTGTTTGTTTTGATTTTTGCTAGACACCTACTGTTTGGGATCTTGGCCAGCCTTAACATCTGCCGAGACACTCCCTGGGTGAGAAAATCAGGGAAAACGGAGGAGAAGCGAAGCTGAGCATGATTCCTTTGAAACAGCACTGAGCACACACAGGAACTGGGAGAGATGGTGCAAAGCAGGACTGATGGAGTGAGGGCTAGGATGAGGAGAGACCACTGACTGCCCTCTGATCCAAACCTGGAGCAGGTTCCCTGCAAACAGGCAGTGGACACCTGTCCTGAGCTACAGCCCCACCACCAGCACAGCCCTGCCTGTGCCAGGCAGCATCAGGCCCATCCCGGGCAATGGGCACCCATCATGTGCAGTGAGCTGTGAATTCAGCAGCTTCTGATCCAGCTGAATGCCTTGGGTTTGTGCCATGAGCTCCAAACAGGATGTCAGCTAGGAGAGACAAATGCCTCTGCCCATCATCCCTGGCCAGGCTGCCCTTGCCAAGGATTGCCAGTGCACCAATCCTCCTCTTTGTGGGTAGAGAAGGTGGCTGTACAATTAGAGAAAGCAGGAAAGTTAAAAAACATTCATTCTACTGTGGACAATCAGGAACAAAACTCCTCCTTGGCAAAACCAGTAATTAATAAAATGGGATTATTACAACTTCACACCCACTGTTGGTTTCCGCAATCAGCACCCACTCAATCCACAAAGTGTTTGGGGCTGTGTGTGGGGAAACAAGAGGGGGTCCGTGCCTGAGCCTTTGCTTCAGCTCCATTTGACAGCAGAAATCCGGGGGTGACATTCAGAATCAGCCAAGCACCATGTGGATGATGTGCCTGCACCCTGTCATCAAGGCACATCTGTTGCCACCAGCCCTTGTGCAGGAGGGGACGCGCTCCCAGGCACCCTTTGTGCCACCGGGAAGCAGGGGGAGGGCGTGAGGGAGAAGAGAGACTAAACAGAAAGAAAACCATTCCAAACCCACGTTCCTCGCCTTGCAGAAGCCATCAGCAATCATATGCAGGATGAGAATAACCAATCTAGCACAATTCAGCTCACACATGCTACAGGATCTCGTCTCATTACAGCTCTTTTATTTTAAGCACCCTCATGACACTAAAGAATTTGCAATTTTTTTTCTGCTTGCCAAAATTCATAATCACCAACAGTTTCAGTTTTCTTATTTAATTTTTTTTTTTTAACTCTTCTGTTCCTGGGCTGCTCAGCCTCGCTGGGCTCTACAGGGGGAAGGAGAGAGGCAGGGCTGGCAAGGCTGCAGCAGCTCATGGGATCACTTGGGATGTGATAAACGCTACCAAGCATGTAAAAGGCTGCTGGGGAGAGGAAGGAATTAATTCCTCATCTGTGTTCATGGGGGGTAGCGTGAGAGGTGACACAGGCTGCAGCCAGGGAGACTCAGGCTAACACAAACAACAGGGGAGATTTTGGTCTGCAGCCCTCCCTCATTGCGTGGAGCAGGATCCCAGCTCTGGGCATGGGCAGCCCTCACTGCCAGGAGCGCTCCCCATCTGTCCCTGATGGTGCTATTTCTGAGATCAGCCCTGTTCGACCCCCAGCCCGGGCAGAGCTGATTAAAATAGCTTCTTGCACAAACAAGTCCTGAAACACTTCCTGAGTCCTCCCTGGTGCAAGCCTTGCCAACTGTCCCAAAGGGCATCCAGTCAAGTCCTCCTCGGTGACATTTCTTATCTGGGCTAGAGTTGACAGTGGACCCGGGGGGACATGCTGTGAGCCAGTTTCCATGTGGCAGGCAGGAGGCACAGCACAGGGCCCTGTCCTGAAAGGTCCTGTGGTCCCAGGACACACACAATGGTGACAACAGCTGGAGCTTGTCCCCATGGCCTGACCTGAACCCTCTGTGCCAGCCCTGGATAAGACAACCCAGCCTGTGATGAAAGGAGCTGCCAGCACTTGTGGCCATGAGGAAAGGGAATTCTGTGGGACACACAGCACTGCCCACAGGGCTCAGGCTGCCAGGCAGGCTGGAATGGATACTGTGCCCCAGGGAGGGAGGCACAGGGCTCAGCAGCACAGCAGCTTCCCACAGACACCTACTGAGGCAGCTGAGGTTGGGATCAGCTCCTCAGTCATCTCCAAAGTCAAGTGAGAAGGGAGGTGACACATGAGGACAGCCATCCCTGTGCACACCAGAGCACACGCCAGTGCTTGACCCCAAGAGGATTCAGGGCTGCAGCATCTCTAAGTTGGCTCTTCCTGACTACAGATGCAAGCCAGCAGGAGTCCAGCTCCACAAGAGAGATGCCTGACCCAGCACACAGTGAAAGGCAAGAATGGGGCTGTTTCCAGCCTCAGTGGAGAGCAACATCTGCTTATCTCCAACGGGAGGCACCAGGACACACAGAGCAGCTTTGATGGGCAAAGCAGGCAGGAGAAGCTGCTGACCACCTGCTGGTACCACTGCTGCAGTGAGGCACTGCTGGCAGCTACCGAGGAAAAGCCCTCCCGTGCTGCAGGGGTGCAGCCAACACATCCCCAGACAGGCTCCTTGTGGGATGCAGGAATGGCTTCACCAGCTCCAGCAAAACCCACCAGACACTGAGGCTGGGTCCAGGAGGATTCCTGCAGGGCAGCCTCGTGCTGGAAAAGCCTCAGGGTGCTCAAGTCAATGCAGGTAAATAAACCTTCATTGCCTCCATCTTGCAGGTTTGAGTCCACCTTGACCCAAGAGTTTGGGAGTGCTCTTGTAATGTTTTTCATCAGTCCCCCTCCACTACAGGGCGCTAGGGATGAAGGTAACACCTTCCTATCTGGTCCTCTCCTCTTCCCTGTTTCCCAAAATCATTGCAACCCTGCCTGCCATCTCTAAGACAAGATAATCACATGGGACAGACAGACACAGGGCACCAGGGTGGGAAGGGAGAGAAGCGCTGGAAGCAACGACAGGAGGCTGGCCTGTTGTACTCATCAGCCTTTCCTCAAATAGCTCCCAAGTCCCAGCCACAGTGGCACAAACCCCTGGCACCTGCCCTAAAAAGGCAGAGAGGATCAGGACTTACCCTCGTAGGACAGCACGTGGCCTTTCTTGCCCTCGTAGATGACATGTCCTTTGGGCACGGCATCCTCCCTCGCCTTCTCTGCTCTGCTGGGGCTGTCTTCTCCGATTATCCTGGTAATGGTTCCTTTGTACAGCACTTCTGCCGGGGTGCCCTTGGAAAGCCACCAAGATCCATATTTAACAGTGTCACAACCAATTAAGCAAACGCCGTGCGGGGACTGGCTGTTCCTCGCGGGAAGCTGAGCGCAGGGAGCGCACCCGGCCTCCGCTTCCTGGCGCAGCCAACAGCCAGGGACTTGCAGCTTAATTATTGATGAGAACGATAACGAGCAGCAGTAAAAAGGTACGTGATCTGTGTGAGGCTGCTGGGAAGAGGCAGGGGATGAGGAGAGCGCAGACCTCCAAAACAGCAGCTCTCACCCTGTGTGTTTTGGAGTAAGCTGCCTGGCCTGCTCCCTCTCCCTGGGTTTGGGGGACAGGGCTGGTGCTCCGCTGAGGACACCTTAGTGACAGCAGGCACTGCTCCAGCATTAGCTTTTTCCCTGCAGCCTATTTTCCCAGCTTGGCACAGGAGCCACAGAGATGTCCTGCCCACCCAGGCACATCTGCTGGCAGCAGTGTGACCTTCAGGGAGCTGCCTGTGTGCGGGAGCTGCGGCTGGCAGCGCGCCCGGGCGAGACGGCAGCGACAACGAAACCGGTCCTGCAGCAGGTCAGGGAGCAGAGCCTGCCTCAGATCTCCAACAGGAACAGCAGCAGGCTCCCCACACACACCCAGTGTGAACTGAAACCTCTCCTTCACCACGAGCAGACACAGCTCACAGCACCTGTCCCCCGAATCCCCTTCAAAACACACAGAGCTGATGTCCCTGAGGAGTCGCTGGTGATTAACACCCTTCTGCCACTGCAACCTGTCGGTGCCAGCTGGGAACAGCCACCATGGGGTGACAGCCCCCCTTCCCCATCTCTGGGAAGGCACAGTGATGCTGTCAGAGTGACACTCCTGACTGACACCTGCCTACTCAGCTCATTTAACCCCAGCAAGCCCTGGGACTGATGCCTGGGGGAAGCCTCGGGACACGATGCCCCCGCCAGCTTTGCTGGTGCTTCCCGGTTGTGCCACTCAGGCTCTTTCCCCACCCCTGCCTGGGGGTGCCCCTGCTCTCCACCAAGCCCTCAGAGCAGCAGCAGTCCCCAAAAGCCAGGGCATACCAGCATGTGGGTTCAGTGCTCTGGGCACCCACCCTTGTAGTGGATCTGGGCACCTGCAATGGCTCTCCCAGCCCCAGGTAAGGCACCTCCCTCCACAGATGTGCTCCGAGGGGATGTGAAAGCAAGTGATGACAGATGGCTTCAGAGCAGAGAGCATATATTCAAGATCTGCTTCCTGTGAACTGGATGACTCATCTGAGATCAAGTATCAGCTCTGGTACCAGGAGCTGCTGCCAGAACAGGGGGCTCCTTCTCCCCAGCAGGAGCAGAGGGATGCAGGCTGCTGGGCCAGCAGGAGAGCCAGGCAATGCCCTGGGTCTGGCCCTGGTACCTCAATCCCCAGCCAAACAAAGGAATCTGGATGGATTCATTAGCTGGCTGGATTCATTAACTGGATGCAAAGCAGTATCTCAACAAACTATGCTGATCTCCTCAACTGGCACATGGTACTCAAGGTCCTTCACATCCACCCACTGCTGCCCACAGCTGCTACAGGAGCATCTGAGAGGATGGAGCAAGTGTTTGCTCTGATGGGTTATTTACAGCCCCTGAGCATCCACTCCTGGCAGATGTTGGACACAGGGCACCAGGCAAGCTAAGCCTTTGCTCTGGGCCAGGATTCAGGATCAGGTCCCCAGGGCCAAAGTGAGCATGATCATCCTCCTTGAAGAAGGCAGGCAAAAATTGGAGCCTGAATGTCTTTAAATATCTGAATGATAGCCAGATAAAATCCCCATGGGAAACAGATTTTTATTTTTTTTAATGCTCTCTGCTCTGTTACCAGATGAGCAATAACTCACACTGCAAGAAACTATCGCCCGCTTGCCAGCTGCTCTTCTGAAGATGGATGGTGGAGATTAAGGCCAAAGTATCTTCCTGCTGAAGAGCCTTTGGGCAGGACCCCCAGCACAGCATGCTCAGCCCTGGCAGGAGCTCTTGCTGCCTTACCTGCCCCTCACAGCCTCCTCCCTCCTCCACCTGGCCTGGGCCCTCCACCCATCTCCTTTGCTCGCCTCCACTTTCTTGCCCTGACAAGATGATTTTGCCAGAGCCATTTACAGCTGCTTTTGCCTCTGTTCTTTACAGCTACAAAAGGCAAAGCTGGGTTTAAAGGTGCTGTAAGGCTGCACTGCTATTTGTTGGGCTCTGCTCTTCTGCAGTCTTCACTCACGGGACACCGCTCGTGCCATCCCGAGTGGGGGCTGCTTGCAGACCTCTCTGAGGGGCTCCATGGGGTGGGAGCACCACAGAGCTGCTGCACAGGCCTGTTCTGCACACCCAGTGTGCCCCACAAACCCCCAGTGCCCATGTCCAGCACCACAGGCTGCAGCTGCCAGCACCCAGGGGTGACAAAGGACTTACATGTGTGATGGAGCCTCGGTAGGTGATGGGTGACTCCGGAGGGGGCCTGGATGTGGGTGTTCCTTTGGTGATGCTTCCTCCCGAGGCAGAGCTGAGGGAAGTACCTGTAGGACACAAAACCTGTGAGCTGGGGGATGGATTTGCTGTTCAGCACAGAACCTGTGGGGCTGAGACTACTGAGTGCAGGATTTGACCCAGTCTCTGTGGTACTGGAGGGGACACCCTCCAAGAGCTGTCAGTGCTCAATCCCAAACCCTGCAGAGCCCTTTGTGCCAAGTCTCTTGAGGCTATCAGCTCCCTGCTGTCTCTGTGGAGGTGCTGGGCAGATTTATGAGCCTGGGAGAAAGCACAGCCTGGCTCAGCCTCTCCTGATGTGATCAGAGCAGATCTGTGGTGAGATGCAGCTCAGGGTGGCTTGAGTTCATTCACACAGATCTGTCCTGGGTTGGAGCCAGCCCACAGCACTCAGGCTCCTGACTTGTCTTACTGGGAGGTTCACAAACCAGAAACCTCTGCATTTATTTTCTTCTGCCTGGTTAATGGGGAAAGAAACCCATCAGGGCTGTATTTAACCAAAATGGGGTCCCTGATCAGCTGGAGCACCAACAACGAAGAGCATGAAAATACCAATTAATGTAATTTAAACAGGTCTCGCTTTGTCTTAAGCAACAAATTTTCAGGTTCCCCTTGAACACAAAACCTCCACCAGAATCAACACCTGAGGCCCCGATGTGGGGAGGTAAAGGGGCAAAGAGACCCCTTTGGCTGGGCACAATTCCAGAAGTCCAACCTGAGATCACTGGGCAGCTGCAGCCAGTGTGGCATCCACCAGGCTTGGCAGTGCCAGCATCCCTCCCTCCCTCCCTCCCCACAGCTGGGGCAGGTGCCCCACTCCGTGTCCTCACCCCGCAGGATGGAGCCCTCCTGGGATGGCTGCAGAACCAGACTTTCTGGCTGGCTGGCCTGGCTTCTAGGAGAAAGTTGTTCCTGCTTTACTCCAGGAAAAGGCACTGGAAAACATTAACCAGGTATCAGCATAGGTGCAGGACACGGGGCCACAGCCCTTGGCTGTGCCAGCCTGGAGGCAGCACCTTCTCAGCACCTTTGCCATTCCCAACCCCTTGGGATGGGCTTCCCCAGGGTGGTGAATGCACAAATGCCATCCAGCAAAGCCAGATCCTTCACCCTGGCACTGCCCACACCAGGACCAGAGCTGACACTGGAAACCCTGTGCTGGTTTATAACAGTGGGAAACAGAGCTCATATCCCTCCTCCCCAGGCTTGATCCCTCACCCATTCCCTCCTGCTGTTAACAAGAGCTTCCAAATCTGCAGACTAAACACTTTCTTTGTTCACTACAGGCCATTTACTCTTTATCCTACCAGCCTGAGGAACAACAATATATTTCCTTCCTTCGATCACAGTATTACCTGAAGGGTATTTATAGGCTGGGAAGTGTCCCTGACTGAGCTGTTGCTTTCCTATACTGCAACTGCACAAATTCAGCTCCCTGTGTCTCTGCTCCCCTGATGGACTAATCCTTTCATCCTCTTAGCAGTTCTCTCTGTGCTCCTCCTTTCCCCTGTGCTTCTGGCAAGCTCGCTCCCTCTTGCTTGCAGAACATGTGAGAAAACAACTCCTCTCCCAGTTCCTTACCCAGTTTCTTGGGATCCATGGTCAGTGGCAGGCCCATGGTGATGGAACCAACGGGGACCTTGGCGTGCTCGGGGCTGTAGGGTGTGTGGAGCTGGATGGGCATTCCCTGTGGGGCAAGAGGAGAGGTCAGGAGCAACTGATGGTCCCTGAGAGGCATCTCCACCTCTCACACCTTTCAGTGGCCTACCTGGGAAATGGATCCGACGGATCTCTCCAGCACGGAGGGGTGCTTGGTGGAGGAGATGAGGGGAGGAGGGTTGGAGATGCTGGCTAGTCTCTGCAGCCCTGAGCGAGAGCTTTCATGCAGGTTTAGTGGGATGGGGTGTCCTGTGAGGAGAACACAAATGTCAGTGAGACTGAGGGCAGGCAGAGCAGCTGCAGCCATCAGGGACAGAAGGGCAATGGGAGGGAGCAGGGGCTGGGTGCAGTGACCGGGCTGGCTGTGAGCCTGCACGAGCTCCAAGTCACACAGCCATTTTGGAAAGGACTGGAATAGTTTAAATTACTGCCTTGTCCCCTCTGCAGCCAGAGGATGAGCTGCCCTCCAGCCAGAGAGGGATAAAACCTGGCTGACTTTGCACCCACACTGCTCTGTAACAAACCACATCCCTACACCTGCCCCAGCCAGAGCTGGGAGACACACCTGACCACCCTGGGACCTTTAAAGAGCCCAGCCTGTGACAGTGGCTGTAAGCACAGCCTCTGGGCTCAGTCCCAGGTCAGGCAGGGGAGGGCACATGTCACACAGCCAGTGGGTTTTACTTGCCTGGTGGGTTGTACTGGAACAAGTGGGGCTCCGTCTGGGGAGAAGTTTTGATCACATCCCGGGGGTAGGACAGAACAGGGGGCCAGCACGAGGCAGCCACTGACTCAGCACTCAGCTTCTGAACCTCTGCAATGGCTGAGAAATGCACAGACTTCTCTGCAAAGGACACAGAAAGAAACTGCATGGTCAGTGGCCAACATGAGTGAGGGGTCCCTGTGAGCATGGCAGGCAAGCAAGAGCCAGCTCCAAGCACAGGAGATGGCTTCAATTCAGTCCAACTTGGCCATGAGGTGAGGATGAACTCTCCAACCAAGCTACAAGGAAAAAGCTCAGTGTCACTGCCTGGATTTGACAGCACTTATTTTACTCAGATTTAAAGGGCAGTGGGGTGTCTGTTGGTGACTCTGCTGGTGCTCACTGCCCACAGGAAGCTCTGTGGACCTGGTGCCATCCCACCTCACCCAGGAGAGATGGCATTTGACATGCAGAGTCCAGGACTTGGCCATTACTGAATTGCTCCTGGGCAGCTCCTGCCTGTGCCCACAGCTCCACATCATCCCAGCATGGCAGGGCTGGAGGATTAATGATGATGCTGCCAAATCCTTCCCTGAGGTTAAAGCCAAGAAGCAGCAATGTTGGCACTCCTCTGGTGCATGGGGGACATCCAGAGGGTACCAGCTTGCTGGTGACTACACTGTGGTGTGCAGCTTCCCAAAATTACCCAGTTCCCATCCTGGATACCAGGCTGGGCTCATCCTGGCTATAAAAAGGCCGAAGGGAGGCCAAGGAGAGTTTAATGATGGAGGAGCTGTGCTGGGGACACCTGAACCCTGCCATGTGCTGGAAGATGCTGAGGAAAAGAGAGGCTTCATGTGCACCAGCTCTATGCCAAGTGCATCCTCACGCTTGGCTAAGCAGATGGATGAGACAGCCTTTTCTGGATTAGAGGCAGGTTTGGTAGGATTTGCTTGTGATCAATAAACACTTCATTTTGCACTGCCCTTCCTCCCCAGATCCACCTGTGTAACGTTTGCATTGACCAGAAATTAGAAACTGGGCAGTAAACAATGGCAATCACAAATGAACCCAGCCTTTAACCATCAATTTTTGATAAAAATAGATGCTGAATCCTGCTAAGCCTAATAATAGGGCAAGTAGATTATCAGAGGCCCAATTTAATGAGGCTTTACTACATTATCGTTATTAATGCTCAGTGTACTCAGAAGCTGGGACATTATTCTTGTCTGCCTCAGTGAGAGAAGAAATCCATTCTGGGCACACAGAGGTGTGCAGGCACTCACACCTCTGCAGGCTGGTGGGACCAGACCTTGGCTGTGGCCTCTCCCATCCCCATTTAGGGTCCCAGAGAGGATCCCTTCATCCTGCCAACAGAGGAGAATCCAGGCACATCCTCCTCACTGATGGAGACTCTCTGGCACACCCACACTCCCTGATGTTCTCCCCTTCAGCTCGGCCCCATTCAGCTCTGCTCATGTGGGGGCAAACAGCGCTGGGATCTCCAGCTGAAGACGTTCCCTGAAGCCAAGGCACTGTCAGCCAAGGCTGTGTGCACCCTGGATGGCTCTCGGAGAGCCTCGTCCTCCTCCCCTCCCCGTGGGAGCCATCCCCTCCCCTGTGAGCCTCTCCAGCCTGTGAAATGTGGCCAGTTCCTAATTGCCCCCGCATTAGAGGGTGGCTATAACTCAGCCAGCTCTTGATAAAATAGCACTTACACGGGGAAGAGAGAGTTCCTATTACCGTTTATCAAGTCCCTGGAATGGGAGCGAAGGAGTCAGAGTTTATATGATCCGTCATCCAAATTAATGCTCTTGGCTCCCCATCGCCTACAGAGGCCAAATGAAACACAACTAAATCAACACCAAACACCCTGCTGGCTCTCCAGCCACCAGTGATAACCAAAGATATGCCCGACAGCAGCTCAGCACCGGGCAAAGGGATCTGCCTGCCGGTGAGATCCAGGCAGGGCTAGGGCTGCCTGCCTCTGCCCAGCCCCGTGATTAGCAGCTCCTCTTGGAAGGCCAGGCAGGGCTCAGGAAGGTATGGCTGGCTGGCCACCCTCCAAGCTGATAGAGCCCCAGCCAGCAGCTGCAAGGCAGCCAAGGCCTGGGCCAGGATGTGTGCAAGGCTCGGCTTTGAAGCGGATCCAGAGCGGTGAGAAGGATGTTGATCTCCGCAGCGGCTGCAGGAGTTCCAGGTCTCTTATCAAGCCAGGGAGGAACAGGAGTACCTGCTCTGGTGGAGTCAGCCCCTTGCTGAGAGGTGGCACAGGGCTGCTTTCCAGAGGGCTCTGCAGGCTGTGCTGGACTCTCCCTTTTAACTCCGAGCCATGTCTGCAGTCTGGATGCTTGCCACTCCACTGGGATGGCTCGGAGAGCAGGGGAGGGAAGGGATGCACACAGATTTGCCAGGAATATCTGGCTATCTCCCTTCTAACCCCTGACCCACAGCCAGGATGTGTTCCAAGAGGCAGAGACAGAACTGAGACAGTGCCTGAGTCCATACTTGTACTGAAACCAGGGCTTTGGGGGAGTTGATTTCTCCCCTTGAGGTGACTCATCACAAACCTGCTGCTTTTCAACAGGGACATGCGCTCCCACTATGAACAGGGGTGTAGACAAGCCTATGTCTCCCTGGGGTCCACATGCATCCCAGACCCACTGTGGCACCCAGCACAGATGCACAGCCACACAGGGCTTGGAGAGCACACAGCTGGAGCCCAAGACCTACTGAGATGTTTGCAGGGATATAGGGAGGCATAATTACTTTCATTAACATGAAATATTCAGAGCTGTACAGAGAAGAGAATAAAGTGCTTCATGTCATTAGTGCTTCTCAGGGAACAAAGCAACAAAAGATCCACCTGGATAACAGATCCTTGTATTTGATAATGGTGCCAGCAGACCACAGAGTGGAGTGGGTGACTTCAACACCTAAAGCCTGCCTTGTACCTCATACCCACTCATCTGCCTCACCTCCTCATCCTCCTGTGGCCAGGAGGAAGCTGGAGCTGCAGCACTGGGACACGGGCAATGCAGAGCTCTGGGCTGGAGTGCTGGCAGTGGCACCCAGCTCACAAGGAAGCTGAGCAGTGCAGCATCAGATGTGCACAGGATTACAGCACAGGAGATCAAACCTGATTACCTGCCATTGGGGAGGAAGAGCTGGAGGGGAACTGCTCCACCTGGGCAGCAAACAGGAGCACAGCAGGATAAGATCTACTGGAAATGGGACTTCACGGGTGGCAACGACTTAGGGGAAACTCCCTTTCTTGCAAGGTGAGCAGTCACCTTCCTTGCTTATATGCAAAACATTCTGAAGGTGTGATGCACACATGGTGCTATTTATTGTTTGAAAAAATTGTGGCCAAGTGCCAACAATGCAAGCAAATCCTTCTGTCCAGAGGAACATGACAGCTTGAGGAATAACTACCTGGCCTGGACTCTGCACAGCAGGCTGCCACAATCCTGGCTGCCCCAGGGTGAACTAGTGCAGTGATTTTCCAGCAAACATCACAGCCAAGTCCAGTGCCTCCTCAGTGCAGTCTTATCCACCCTTCTCTTCCATGCACAAGCAGGTGATTTTTGCAGCTGCAGCCACTCCTGTTCAGGATCCAGCACTGGTGGACACTGTACCCACGCAAGCCCAACTTCCCTGACCATGCCACTGGGGACAGCCTCTCATCTTCCTTAACAACTGAGCCACGGGCAAGCTACAGGGGGCAGGGACACAGACTCTGAACTGGAACAGACTCTAACACTCAGATTAAAAACACATTTAGAGGATGGTTTCATCAGGACTTCCCGTCTCTCCTTAACCTTGATCCCCAGGTGCTCAAGCTAATAATGCTTCAGATGCTCTATGGTGGGAACCTCTGAATTGCTCATTAGGCAGCCAAACCACATCAGAGCTATTCCAGGGAGAAAGCACTGGGAATCTTTACAGGAACCTTTGGACTCCGAGTCACAGTATTAGCATTGATTTTAAATGAAATAATGGTCCCTGCTGTGCATTAAAAGCATTCTTTATAGAAAGCCAGCAAGGTAGAAAAGAGCCATTGTACCCAGAGCCTTGGCATGCCTCCAGGCCCCTCTGCTCTCTGGTGAATGGCAGATGCTAATAAAGGCAATCTTCACCTCCTTGGCGCTCCACACTGCCCGGCGTTTGCTGTGGGCTCAATGAGACATCATGTACTGTCTAATGAACATGGGAAATTAGCCATGCCTCTCTCGTCCTGCCTCAAGATGCTATTAAAGAGCTTTCAGGGGTTGAAACAAGCTTTCACCTAGGAGGGGGAAAGCTGCTGGCTGCGTGCAGCTGCACACCCCGGGAGCTCCGCGCGGATGAACGCGCGCACAGCCCTACCTTCCTTCTCTCCAGCAGCGGGGCTCCGGCTCTTCCCCCTGGGGCTGCTGCTGGGCTGCTGCTGCTCCTTCTCAGCCTGCTGCTGCTGGGACTGTGACAGCTTGCTCGGGGGCATGTCCTCGCGGGCAGACTCGTGGGCTTTTGTGATCTGCTGCTGGTAGAGAGCCAAGGCGTGGGGAGGCACCTGAGGCTTCGCGCTTCCACTCTGCAATACCCCCTCTGAGAAACCTTCTGAAATCTGCAAAGCAGTAAGAGTTGGTTACACTCATCATGTGTTGTTGACATCCGTAACAATCTTGAAGGCATCACGAGTTATGAGAAGCCCCTGCCCCACACTATCATGGCAAGTCTTAGCAGAGACTAAACAGGGCTTCAAAGCTCACTAGCCACAGGAGATTTTAAAAGCCCATGACAAAGAGTACCAGCTCTGTGCTGGTGATACTACAGCAAAGAGTCAGACTTGTTCAAAACCTCTTATCTACAGTTATGTGCTTGTAGCTTTTGCCAGACATTACACTACAGCAGCCACGTCTTAAGCTATGATATGGGAAACTGGAAGAGCATCAGAAATAGGCCCTCCCTGATCATGCAAACCCCAAAGCAGGATTTCCTCCCTGCCCACCCTGCACTGCTGCTCCTCCAGTGCTGACCCTGGAGATACCAGGATGCTTCTTCTCACAGCCTAAACATGGCTACTGAACAGTCAGAAAGGGGGACCAAGCAAAATTCGTGGGTGAGTAAGGTGATATCCTTCAAGCACAAGATGAAGTGCAGGGCTGGGAAGGTGCACTCCTTTTTAAAGCCATGGGAGGCAGCAGTCATGTGGCAGTGAGAAGCTTTTTCTGTCCAGACCTCCCACGATTTTCTGATAAAAGAGCTCAAGAGACATCCAAATGCTGCTGGCAGAGCTGCTCCAGCAGCTGGGAACACCCTCTGCACAGGGAGCACCTTGCCTGGCTGGGGGCTCACACCGCCCAGGCACAGCTCTCTGTGGACCAGAGGCCATCCCCAGGGATGAGCACATCCTTGCAACCCTGATGCACACCGTGGAGCCCAGTGGGAGAGCGTGCACGAGGCACAGGCTGTGCTCCCAGCCCCTGCCCTCTCCAGCAGGGTACTCACAATGGGAGGGATGGCAGCAGCTCTCTGCTTCAGCTGTTTCAGGTCCAGCGGCTTCTGCGGCGAGGAGTTGAGCCGGGCGTCGCTGGCGGTGTTGAGCAGGCTGGGCCGGGGGGACAGCAACCTGGAACCAAAACAGGACATCAGCCATGGACAGGCTCTGTGGCCCTCAGCTCCCCCACAGCCTGCACCCCTGTTCTGTGCTGCCAAACCCAGAGGACATCCTCTGCATCAGAGAGGAGCGTGCTGGACCACTGCTGGCTGCTGGGAATTTGGGCTCAAAGACAACCCCAAGGGACAACATGTTCAAACAAGACCCTTATGTCCGGCTCAAGAGGCTCTTGAGCCCACTTTCCCTCATCCCAATGCTATTTCTAGCAAAGCTGCTGTTGTCCAGAATAAACCTGAGGGAAAATGGACTCTGGAGCTGGGTGTTATGGAGCGAGGCGACCAGCCTGGATTTCATTTGGACATTATGTTACCCTCCAGAGCTCACACGTACAGCTCACCAGGGCTTCATGCTCTTCTTCAAGGACTGTCTTTTATCAAGGTGCTAAAGCCAGGGCAAGCCACCATGTGCACGCAACTCAGGCCCTTGGGTCACTTGAAAGATAAGAGGCTGGATTTGGATGGGATTTGGCACTCAGCAGCTGTGCAGCCCTGCACCCTCACCACTCGCTCTTCCCCTTGGCTGTCTGAGCTGCCTGGTAACACTCAGCCAGCCATGCAGAGCCCCTGTGCAAACATGGGGGGCACCCCCATGGTGCCACCAAAATGGGGTGGGGATGCAGGCGTGCAAAGCCCTTGGGTCAAACCCTCAGCATGTCCAGCTCCTGAGCTCATGCTGAGACCTCAGGGACCACGTCTGCCCAGGCCATCTCTGCTCTCTCTCCCTCCTGACTCCAGTCTGTTGAAGCCAGTTCATAGTTTTCAAGCTTTACAGCTTGATTTGTTTATTTTAGCTGTTATTTCAGTGCTCTCTTCAGCCTATAAATTTCAAGGTCATTCCATGCTCACCCTTGGATGAATAAACAAGCGTGGCGGGGCCGTGTGTGGGGAATAAACTCATCATGGTGCTGGGGCTGCCCCAGCCCTTGCTCTGCACAGTGCCTGGCATCAGAGGGGAAGGGGACCCACCTCCACAGTGGCACCAGGGTTAGGCACTCAGGAAAAACCAACCAAGGGACAGCAAATTTGAAAAAATTCTTCCCTAAATAATCCCAATGATGTCTGCCTGAGGAGCCACATGGGTGTTGTGAAGCTGCAGTCCTGGAAGGGTGCAGTGCCCCAAAATCTGCTGAGACACAAGGCTGGGGACAAGGGCACCCAGCACTTGCTCCTGAGACCTTCATTGCAGGCTGAGCTGTGGAACTGCCACCCCAGCAGCTGCTTTGTGCACTCGCTGGTGCTTCAAGAGGTACACTGAAGCACCCTTAAAGTCCCTTTAAGCACCCTCAAGATCTTCAGGTTTCCTGAAGCCCTCCAGGATCCTGATGCTTGGGAAGCCAAAGTCAGTATTAAATTCATTAATATGCAAATTGCCTAATTTATTACGTCCCTCCCGGCAGATCTTGCGCCAGACAATGGGATGTCTGTTGGGTGCTTTGCTCCGGAAATCACCGTGTGAACAATTCTTGAACAATTCTTATCCATTTGCTGCCAACCCAGCACCTCCCAAACCCAAGGACCAGCGCCTTAAGATGGCTGATGGCATTGGGAAAGATGGGAAAAGAGTCAGAGCAGGAAGGGGTTGGCAGGCTCACAGCTAAACCTCAGCAGTATGGAAATGTCCCCTCCCAGGCATCAAGCTTTGGGGATGACCATGACACTGCATTTCCCATACTCTTTCTCCTTCTGCCACGGAGAGGGATGGGGACTTATTTAACTTCCAGATGATCCAACACCCTGACACATGACCCAGCCAAACATGACTCCACAGTAGTTGTGCAAAGGCAGTGGCTATCAGAGCTCCAAAACGGGTTCCCCTAAGCCAGAGACATGGCTCCAATGCGGCACTGGCCTGGCAGAGTCCCTGCACCTACAGCAGAGCCAGCAATGGGACGTGCAGCACCGGGATGGTTGGTGCAGGTGTCTCCTCACCATGCTGCAGGTCTGCAGTGGTAGCTGTGTGTGGCCTCCCTCACATGTCCCCATCTGGCGTGACCTCCTGCTGAACCACATCTTGGCTGTGCTTGCAGCAGCCCTCCTGCAGCACTCGCTGCATGGAACCACAGACAACCAGCTGCCTCCTTCAGCCTGGATGAGTTAAGGCTGCGCCTCCTCAATCCTGGACATGTCTTTGCTAGCGCGAACTGCAGGAGGACCAAAAAAAGGCTGCCCCTACTCTGAACCCTTCCCTTTCTCACCGCGGGGACACCCCAGCCACCCTCTGTCCTCTTCTGGGAGATGCCGGGGACAGCTTGATGCTTTCACAAGCGCAGGGAAGAGCACCCACGCCCCGCTGGCGCTGGGTGGGTGGGCGAGCATCGGGTGATGCGGTGACGGGGCGGCTCACGCGGCACCGCGGCCCCGCTCCGCGCGAGTCACGCTGCGGCAGCGCCAACGCCCGCGGCCCGGCAGCCCCGGGCCCACGGGGAAGGCAAGGGAGCACAGCTACAGCTGGCAAGGCCACCGAGTCCCCACTGGGAGCCAAAAGCTCTGAGCCAGCTGAGGATCAACCCTGTGGGTGCTTCTGGGTTGGGAAGCGCCCGATGCCAGCGTCAGCTGCAGCCTTCCCGTGCCAGCAGGCTCTGCTATCGCCCGCGCCTCATCACCACACCGGCTGAGAGGAGTGGCCCGGGAGCTCGGGACGCCTGTTTGGTGTTTAATATTCCTGGAAGCTGGTAACTGTTTGACAAGCGAGATAGGAGCTGACTCAGCGAGGAGCCGCGATGGAAAAGTTGTTCCCAAGAGGATTTGCTTCTTTGCTTCTCTTTGCTGCTGAGAAGTTGGTGCAAGCCACTGCTGCCCTGCTTTCGGTTGGGTTAATGTTAAACTGGAGGACAGCCCTGTTGGCCTCACTCTCCCTTACTGGGAGGTTTTCTCCTGTCTGGGAAGCCGGGGAGGGTGGGGAGGGGTGGTGCTGGACTCTGGCCATTGCTGGAGAGGAGCACTGCAGCCAAGAGGCCTCAGCCCTGCCACGGGGCTGGCCAGCAGCACCTCCACCACCCCTTGGCACCGCCTGCGCTGCTCCAGCTGCTTGGCAGTGAGGGGCTGCACCCCAGAGGATGCTCCCACACCAGCAGCGCTCATCCATTGGCTCCTGCATCAACCACAGGGGAAACACAGAGGCCATGTGGAGCGGTGGGATGCACACCAGCTCCCTCTGACTTCATCTCATCACTTTGCTCAGTTGCTTTTACAACAGCCCCATCCACAGCGCTGCACACATCCACAGCCTGCCCAGCCTGGCAGCACCCATCTTGCTGCCACATTGCTCCCTGTGAGCCCACAGAAGGCTTGCAAGACACTGGATGCAGGATGCCAGCCTTCAGTCCCTGCCCAGCTCTGAGTCAAAGAGGGACAGCTGTCCCTACATACAATGGCAGGGTGTACACAGGAGTCCCACTTGGCCCAGGAGCCATCATAAAATTCAGTGCTACAAAGCTGTGTGTATTCACATGTATTCTTTAAAAAATGGAAAACCCTCTATCCATGTGTGAGGCTCTTGGGTGGGGAGGGCCCTGTGGGAAAAGCTGGGAGGGGAGCAAGATGTTTCTCCAAGGAGGAGGCCAGTGTTTCTCCTCCCTGTCCCAAGAGCCATCCATGAAGGGGCTGAGGCGCTCTTGGCTGCCAGACCTAGGGGTGGGTGGAGGGCTTGGGACTGCAGTGGCTCAGGTGAAGACCCACTGGCATGGCCCCAGGAAAGCTCACACAGACCACATTCTCCTGCCTTTATGGCCAGGATGGATAATTTGCCCCTACAGATGTCAGCAACACCTCTGCCAAAGGAGCAGCTCGCCCCCTCTTGCAGTAAAAAGGCATCCCTGACGCGACTTTTCTCCTGCCAATGCCAACTGAGACAGAAACCATTCCCAGCCCCGGATGCTGGCAAACCAGCACAACTCCACTGTCCCTGAGAGCACACCCCGCTCCATTGCGTCACCCAGATGGGCAGCTGCCACCAGCAAATGCAGTGGCTCTGCACCCAACATCTGCCCACGTCCATGTCCTAGAAGCACCCGTGCGTTGGGACATCGCACTGCTTGTTGTGTCACAGCCCCTTTGGAAGCAACAGCCAAAGGGCTGGGGGCACATGGGGACACAGCTGGGAAGTCCCTTTGCCTGGGAGAGCACCTGAGCACTGATACTCCCCAGGAGGAGCTCACAAAGGCACCCATGGGCACTGTGACACAATGGAAAAGCTCATCTGGCCCTTGGGTCATGCCCTTGTCCCCTCGTCTCCCGCTCCTACCTGCTCTTGTCCACAGCATCCTGCTCATCCATCTCGTCTGCGCTGCAGGTCGCGCTGGAGTCGCTGTCGGGGTTCACCCCGGGGCCTTTGCTGCCCTTGTGGCTCTCCTTCTTCTCAGCCTTGGGCGTCCCCTCCGTCCCTGCCGTCCCTGCACTGCTGACGCCGCTTTCCACCTTCTTGTCATTCCCCTTGTCCTTCTCCTGGCTCTCTTCGCTCTCCTCCTTCTTCACCTCGCTCTTGCAGGGCTCCTCGCTTGCCTTCTCCTCCGGCTCCTCCGTTTTCACCACGTCCACCACCAGCTCCTCGGGCACCTTCTCCTCGCTGCTGGGAGCCTCGGGAGCCGTCTCCGGCGGGGGGCTGGCGGCAGGAGCGGGGTTGGCAGGGGGAGCAGGGGGAGCGCCGGGGGGCGTTGGAGCCTCTTCCCACTTGACTGCCGGTTCTGTGCCGGCGTCACCTCCCGGCCCGGGTGGTGCCTTGGCCCCGTTTTCACCTCCCTCTTTGGCTTCGGGCCTTGGCGAGGGAATGCTCTCGGTGTCGGAGCTGTTATTTACTGCAGCTGAGAAAAGGGAAGAAATAAAAATAAGGATCAGCCTGAGATTTTTGCTTCCCATATCGCTGCCTCCACCCCCTCCCCTGGGAAGAGAACGCCCTCGTTCCTCTGAGGGGGAGATGATCCCAGGGCTGGGAGAACTGTGCTGGGATCCCCAGATCCAGAGCCTGCTAAGCAAAGGGCTGTTCTGGGGGCCTCTCTGCTTGCCCAGCACGACTGTTAACCCCCACCCAAACACAAAATCACACGCCCAAAAGCCTGCAGACTAAGCGACTGGGAAGCTGGATGTTAAGGGAAAACCCTGGCTGCTGGTTGGTCTGGCAGGACAAGATCTGCTCCCTTCTTACCCTCTTACCCATGGCACATGATCAGCTGCCTCAGACCAGGCACCCTACTCGCTGACTTACATCACCTGTCTCCCTGGCTCTGCCACCCCTGGAGCAGCTGGGATCATCCCAAAACACTACACGTGTTTGTTGTTGGTGGCAGAAGAAAGGAGGTCAGGGTCAGCGAAAGGAAAGCGCTGGCAGTGCTGCAGGACAGGTTAATTATTACATGGGAAGGATCATTCCCAGACCTGCCACCAGCAGCCTGATGTGAGCTGGAAGCACAAGCGTCCATGCACTGCTCAGGGTTAGGTGCTGCCAAGAGATTGTTTCTACAGCTGGGGAGAGGATCACTCCCTCCAAGGCTCGGCCGGACAAACATGGCCAGGGCCAGGAACACCAGGAGATTTCCACAGTCCCATCCCAGCGTGTCCCCACTGGACAGGGCTCTCACGCTCATGCCCCAAAGGCTTCCTCACATGCATTCCTTGACCTGCCTCCCTCCACAGCAGCTCAGACAACTTTCAAACGCTGGTGAGAGGAATGCCACAGAGGGACTGTGTCCTAAAAGCTGTACATCGGAGCACATCCATCTGTCCTCAGAGTGAAATCGAACCACACTCATCAGGAATCTCAGTCTTCTCCAATCTTACTCACTTGCAAACAAGAATTGAGGTGTCCCATCACCCAGCCAGGACAAGGCTCACAGTGTGTTTGGCAAAACTCTTCCCAACTGCCACTTGATGCTACTCTGAATGCTGTCCTGAGACACCCAACAGTGGCTCATCCCAAACTCAGCCAAACTCTAGACTACCTTGCATTCCCTCCAGATGCTGAATCCAGAGTCTACACCATAATTCCCATACTAAGTCTTTCCCCCTGTCCCTGGATTGGCCACGTGGCCCCTGCAAATGCAGGGTATTGTCTGAGTATCCCCAAATGTCACCCTGGGGCCAGTGCCCATCTCCTGTGTAACACCACCCTGGCACTTCCATGCCCATTACATTTTTCATGCCCCTCATGCTTTTCCACAGCTCTGTAGGGCACCCCAGCAGCAGAGCAAGAGCCGATGCTTGGGGAGTAAGGCTCAGAAGCATGTCAAGAGATCTGTAATCTCAAAATCATGTTGTTTCCTCTCAGGCACTCTTACAAAGAGCGGTAACCACCTTTTACTTTGCTCCCGTGAGTCACGTATCACCTCGCACAAAGATTTACCTGGAATCTGCCTTGTAATGAGTCACTCACAAGGATGATTTGAAAAGATTTCCCATTTCAACTCCCATTAGCCTGGGTGCTAAGGCCAGGAACCAGTGTGGTGCCAGAGTGCTGGTTAAGTTATTAAATTACTTTGACAGAAGTCAAATGGGCATTGTTGGAAAATTGTGCACATTTTCTCTGAACTCCAAACTGCTGCGCTTTCTAAGCGATAAATAGCTGAAAATTGTCACTTTCAAGTTCTTTCCTTTCTTTGGTATGGCTGGGAGGGAGAAGAACGCTGACTTAAAAGGGAAAGGAGGAGGAAAAGCCCACCAAGGTGCATCAGCCTGGTTGGTGGCAGACCACGGCTTCTCCTGCCTTCTCTCCAGTGCTGGGCTCTGGGAGCTCCACTGCCCAGGAAAGCAGCAGTGCCCTGATGAGATGGGGACAGACCTTGGTGGGTTATCTCTCCTTGAGCCCATGATAAGCTCCAAGAGAGCTCACAGTGGTGGATAAGAGCATGCAGGGACCCTCCTTTGGAGCAAAACACCAAGAAATGTGATTTACAGGAGGTCCTGGGAGGCTGTGTGCTCTTGGAAAGCGCACTGACGGAAATCAGAAACCAAAGGGCTCCCAAAATAGCCATCTGTCCAGACAGACACGGGAGGAGGGCAGTGATCCAGGGCACTCCTTGTAAGCGTGAAATCCAGAGGCATCCAAAATGCCACGAGTGCTGTGAGATACCATCACCTTGGTGTGACTTTGGGGTGACAGACCCCTTGAGAGTGCAATCCCAGAGAGGCCGTGCGCGGTGCCTCTGCCGTGACCAGGCAGCAAAGCCAGAGGAGCTGAGCCCATTCCCTGCCACAGCCCCCACCTGCCTCACCTTCTGCCTCCTCTGCCATCTCCTCCTCGTTGCCACTCGTCCCTGACACCTCCATCTCCTCGTCCTCAGCTGCGGGAGGGAAGGCGGCTTCTTCGTTCTGAACAGCTGCGCCTTTTTTCTTCTTCCTCTTGGCGTTCCTTTCTTTCTCCTGAAGAAGAGCAACAATGGTGAGAGGCAAAGCCTACGGGGAGTTATGGGACAGCAGAGAGCACTGGTCCTGCCCAATGGGTCAAGAGGGACACTGCCAGCAACCCCTACCTCTGAGCACCAGGCTTTGGGACCAGGCTCACCTGTTGAAAGCCTGGCAGTGTGGTGTCACCTGGCCAAAAACTTTTCACTGCTCTGCAATGGTCAGCCTGGCCCCACAGGGAGCTCCAGCCTCAGTGTTCAGGGGAGGAATGGCACAGATACGTGGACAAGGGGCAAGCATGCAGAGGTCACCAGTGCAGGGCTGGCAAGAGCCTGGGGGGTCACATGTCTGCTCATGACACACGTGTGACACGTTGGTCCTGCGCATTTCCAGGCTCTACCACCAGCTACACAAACATGCGTGGCTGAGACTTGATGCTTATCTGCAGATAACAGAGCTGATGCCCCAGATATGGCCCAGCCAACATTTTCATGCACCTGCTTTCATGACCCCTTTGGCAGGTGCTGCCAAAGAACTTTGACTCCCATGCCAGGGCAGCTGTCACCGGTGGACAGTGGGCAAGCTCAGTGCAGCACGGCATCCCAAAGGTGACTGCCCGGTGTCCTGGCTTGCCCTGAGACAGCCCCAACCCTCCCTCCTGGCTGGAGCACGTGCCACAGCCACGAGGGTGTGGACAGCTGCTCCCTCCTGCAGACCTAAAGGAAAAGTCTCGGCTTTGCTATTGTTTCCTGCTCTTGTTGCTTGAGTAAATATTACCAGTAGGAATAGGCTCATCATCTCCGGCTCTCCCTGCAAACCCCACATGAGTGACGTGTGTAGGACGTTTATTTACATGGATGAAAAGATAAAGCTGTGGTGGAAACGTTAACTTTGCTGCTGGATCTCTGTGCTGGGAAGAGCTGGTCCCCCCCTTCCCCCACCCCCAACTTTTCAATCCTTTAGAAAACTTCCAGATAAAACAAACAAATACAACTGCTTTTTGCTTGGAAACGCTGCTTGCTCAAAATCTATTTTTATCAAACTGGGCAGGAGAGAGGGAAAAGAGGCACTTGAGAAGCGGCTCTGTGCAGGCACAGAGAGGCAGAGGGAGGAACGCCAGGCTCTGTGGTTCCCCTTCTCCAGCCCAGCCCTGCCGGTGGTGTCCTGGTGCTGCCCCGGCAGCGATTCAGCCCCGCACGTTCCTGTGTGAAGCAGCAGTTCCCCATCACGCTGAGGCAGTGACAAAGCGCCGACGTTACTATGGCAAAGACTTCTCTGCCTCTTACTCACGGGTCCGTGACTCAGCCGCGGGCAGGAGCGGGCTCCTCACTGGGAATTAGCTGGGAACCAGCCTCTACCTCAGCACCCTACTTGGCCAGAGCCTGGGGCTGGCAGCTGCTGGCAGAGCAGAGCAGAGCAGAGCAGTGAGCGGCCCCAGAGGCACCGTGGGTCCCTCTCCTGGCAAACCCCACTGCTGGGGTTTGGGAAATAATTAAACTGGTATTTAGGGGAAATTATGTGAAATACAGGCAGCAGATCCTGCCTGCATCAAGAGATGTGTTCAAGTCCACCACATTGTCTCTTATCACGCCTACAGTTCCAGACTCCTTGTGCAGTCTTGCTCCTCTACCTTCCACCAGGTATTTCTTGAGGAGCACCCAGGACTTGGTGCTGCTCAAGCATTCTGACTCACCAAGACCACTGAGGATATACACTGAGCACAGCAAGAACCCTGCACGAGGGGTCACTCCATGCCTCCTCCTCCACAATGTCTTTCTGGGCCTTCCCGAAAAATCTGGCCTCTCCCTGCACTCACCACCTGATGTGGCAGCAACAACCCAAACAGCTCCCAAACCCTGCTACCAACAGGAACCACCCTGATGGGAACCTCCCATCAGGCTGAGCCTGTCCCAACAGCAGGACCAAGGCAAGTCAGACGCACTCATTCCCAGAAGCAGAGGCCAACAGAGCACACTCCTGAAGCATTTTTGCTGTGCAAAGCCAGCATCATCCAAAAAAGCAGGAATTAAAGGAATGTTGCTCAGAGGAGGTCCACAGGACTTGGTCTCCAAGCAGGACCAGCCCCAGCCCTGGGGATAACTGGCACAAGTTATCCTCTCTGTCCTGCACAAGCCAAAACAAGCCCAGCAGACCAAAGTGACAGTCACACCAGAGACTGCTCCCAGTGAAGACAGGGCCTATCTCCAGCCACTAGCAGAAGGAGCAGCTCCGAGGACAGCGTGCCTGCCGATGCCCTGCTTTCCTTAAATGCCAAGATTAGCGAGTGCAGTGTGCTGAAGGTCAAGGCTAAGTGACGCTGATGCTGGGACACATCTGAGCGGCGCAGCAGTGAAACCAAGCCAAAACACACAGCAGGGCAGATAAAGCGAAGCCTCAAGGTGGCCTGACCCTGCCCCAGCAGTAACAGGCTGCCTGTCCCAGGGTGCAGCCGGCTGGTTCCGTGCCTGTTTCCCACCCCACGCCGGTCACACAGCTCCTCAGGGCCACCTGCACGCTGCTGAATCCTGCTCTCACACCTACCTGGAAGAGGAGGCTACAATATTAACGAGCCCCATTTGGGAAATGAATGAGATCTGCTAATTAAGTTTACTCTCATTTAGCGTGAGGAGGAAAAGCAGAGCCACTGCATTTCCCTGCACATGATCAGCAATAGCTGGTGGTGGTGAGGTCAGGGAATAATCTGTGGATGTCATGGCAAAATGATGCCACGCTACTCCACAAGTGCTTCCTCCACAGAGCTCATGGCTGATACTGGCTATAGGATGAGATTTGGAGGCTCGGTTTGCTTGGGATTATATATTTAGGAGTCAGGAAGGAAGGTTCATGGCAATTTAATCTCAGTTGTTCTTTCATTTTATTCAGCTTTCTGGCATCTGCTGTTGCCACAAAACAATAGAGTACAATAAATAACAGCTGAATGTTCATTGTTCTTCTCCACAACCGAATCCCACAGCCTCCAATGCTCGAAAAATAAAATGATGATGCTGATATAAACTGCAAGTGAGAGTGAGCAATTAGACTGGAGAAGTCTAGCGGCTGCCTTGGAGGGACGGATGCAGGGAAAAATGTGGTTCTGCAGAAAAACACTTCCGTGATATAATTTCTGCAACATTAGGGAGCAGAGTAAATGAATACACACCGGCTCCACTGCCAGCAAAGCCGTATGATCTTATTTCAGATTCTCCCCAGTAATGAACAATGATATCTTTCTAATGTAACTTTTTATATTCAGAGGGCTTGATGTACATTTCACAGAATATTTCATTCCAGCCTTTATATGGGTCTGGGGGTCTTTTATATAGTTTGTTTGCTTTGTTTCTAAAAACAATTCGGTGAAACATGGGAACACAGGAGTGTCTCTGTGCATAGAGAATTAATAAAAAAGAATCGCCGATGTCTTCTCTTTCTCTCATTCCTATAGACTGACTAGGATATTAAATTCCTGGGTGAGTCATTGAATGTTTTCCTGTCTTTCTTTTTACTCTTGCTGTAATAGCTTGCTTGGAAAGATTCCTGCATTGAACATTGTCCTTTGCATTTTCAAAGCACCCCTTGGGGGTTTCGCCATGTGAATTCTATTAGCCAGAAACTGGGAACCCCAGGATACTCTACAAATGAAATAATTATAATCTTTAGTGTCTCTTAGCAGTCCAAGCTATCTCCAGAACACCAAACAAGCCCCACTGCATTCACACCCTGCACCACATGCCAGGAAAGAAGCAGCATTAGCCCCATCTGAAGGGGAAACTGAGGCACGGAGAGGTGTACACATCTACTTGCAGTGCTGAAGAAAACCTCTTTCAGAGCTAGGCTTTCCTCACATTGTCCTAAATCTCTGATTTCCTTTGGGGCAAACCAAAGCAGTTTACTGCAGGTAACTGCAGAACCTGCAAGGCACAGACCCGTGTGGCCCAGCTGGGCTCTCTGCTCACCAGGGCGGAACTGCACAATCTCACCAGAAACAAAGTATTTGCACAGCAATCAGAACTTGCATCCTGGCCAACACAGCCCTGTTCCTTATCTCCCCATGTACCAGCCACGCTCCAGACACTCAGGCAGCAGCTCTGCCTCATCCAGACCTCCCAGGGGGGACAGACGGGTGGACAACCCTTTCCCGTGCCACTCCACAGTCCCCACAGCTTTCACCCAACATGACGAAGGCCGCCCTGGGCAATGGGAAGCACCCAAGCCCTTGCTAGGAAATATCCCCAGCGCCCAATGCAGGTTGGGACAGGGCTCTCACCATTTTCAGTTTGTGCTGCTGTAGGATCTCGTCCAAGTTCTGCCTCTTCTTGTAGTTGAAGTAGAAGTTTTTGCACTGCGACACGGTCTTGGAGCCCACCATCCTGGCAATGGCCGACCAGTTCCGCCCATGCTCAAGGAGACCTGCAGGTGGAGGAGGCACAGAGGACAAAGGTTTGACACCAGAAGCACTCACACAAGGGCACCATTATCCACACAGGACGGGAAACCTCCTCCGTGCAAGCCAAACTCCACAGGAACAATGTGCTCACCAGCACCTGTCTGAATGGCTTCTAGACCAGGGGATGACCTATGAGAGCCTGTTTTTCTTTCCAAAGGGGAAAAAGGCGCTGTGCTGACCGTCTCTGGAATAAAACGCGTCCCACAGCCGCGTCTCGGCAGTCACGAGGCCCAGCAGAGCTCCCTGTCCCTTGGGACGGCTGCAGCAGGTGTTGGCACGCCCAGGAGAACTTGGGACAGCTGCTCTCAGCCCTGACCACGAAGCAAAGGCTCTTCCCACCCCAAGGCACACAGCCCTGGTGGGGAAGGGAGGGAAGCCTGGGCAGGTGAGCGGCAGCGTGCTGGCAGGGAAGCACGGGTGATGTCCCTGGCTGGGAAGAGGTGTGCCAGGGGATTAGTGCTGATCACAGGCTCATGAGCAAAAGCAGCTTCCCAGGTCAGGCATCACACCAAGGGCTGGCAATCCTGGCCAGATGGTGCCACCCGAACGTGGGGCCAACCCAGCAGGGTGGAGGAGGATGAGGAGGAGGAAGGAGACAGTCAGCACCCCGTGTCCTTGCCATCTCTGCAGGGGTATCTGGGCACCCCTGGCCCTGCAGATGGAGGTAGGAGTTACAACCACAGCCCAGGGGTGGGTGCAGTGGCACCCCAGGATCATGGAGGTGACCTGTGAAAGAGCCATCCAGATTTTCCGGACATTTCTTTCTTACTGCCTGCAGTTATTCCTGCTGTGTGGCTGTTCCTTCGTGTGGTGTCTTGTGGGGCTGGAGCTGCCACCAGCCTGTGGGACACTGCCAGCCTGGCTTGCTCCTGACTGCCCATGTGATGCCACTATCATGCCAACAGCTCCTTACCCCTTCCCTGCACCTTGTGAGGGCACAGGATGCAGAGTCTCTAAGTCCAGAGTTACTATACTGCCACAGAAAGGTAACTTCAAGATGAAAGCCAGCACGGAATGAACCTGCTAAGAACATCTTTCTCCTTTGCTGAGGGACTTTCTGCCCAGAGGCCACCAACCACAAAGCCCTGTGAGGCTGGGAGTGGGCACTGACCACTGGCTCCACATCCAAGCCCCTCCCTGGCTGCTGACACCACAGGGCTTGGGACCATGGTGAGTCCCACACTGGGGCTCCTGGCATGGCTCTGCTCATGCCTGGGAACATTGCAGCTGTGCCCCAGCCCTGCTGCCAGCCTCCTGCCAAGCTGCTGCCATGTGTCAGCCTGGCCCTAAAGTGGCAGCCCAACCTCTGCTTCAGCAACAAACCCCAGGGGATGGGCTGATCTCAGCACAGCCACACGCAACCAGGCCCAAAGGACGCACCCCAGGATCTGCTCTGTGAGCCCATGCAAGGGGAGGGCACGGCGTGGGGGCTGAGGGCATGGCTGCCCTCACACCATGTGCCCCCAGAGAGATGAAATCCCCCTCCCTGCTTCCCAAGTCCTGGAGAAAACCAGCAGCACCCAGCACAGCAGGAGTTAACATCCAGCTGGTGCCTGTATCCTGCCCGTCCCAGCACCAGGCTTATCAAATTGCATGTATGAGGCATCACATGCACTGAGCACCAGAAAGGCCCTGGCAAGCCAAGAAACAAGTTTGAGCTTTAACTCTGCAACTCCCAGCCTCGCTCAGCCAAACCCACGACCTCTGTCACCCCGCTGATGGGCTGGGACTTCTTAAAAAAAATTATAAAAAAAAATCACATCCGGCCACCAATCCTGAGGCAACGAGTGGGGCAAGAGTCCTCCCCCTGCTGTTGCTGAATGCCACAGGGGAAAACAGGACAGTCCCCAGTGTCACAACCCATCCCCTCTGACACAACCCACTGCTGCCTTCCAAAGCAAACAAGCAGCTCTGTCCCTCTGCTCATCAGCACACTGGTGGCCCAGCACCAAGTGTGACAGCCGGGCCAAGGCTGATTGTGTGCCCCGGACAAAGCTGAAACGAAGACACTGGCAGCGGTGTGGATGTGCCATGAGCACGGGTGCTGTGGCAGGAAAGATGCCAGAAGGCAGGAGCTGGCATGGCAGAGCTCATGGCTGGGGGGGTGATGGATGTCAGCGTGAGTGGTCCCCAGCGTGGTGTGACCTTTACCGGCCACAGGCAATGCCAGCTCCTGGCTGTCCTTGCCCCTGCCCAGGCTGGCTGTGCCCCTGCTCACCAGGACACTGCTGAAGGAGCCTGCAGCAGGGCAGGTGGCCACTGCTTGGGAGGAGGAGGAGGAGGCTGCCTGCAGCCCCTGCCCGCGGGACCAGCAGGGAGCCCCGCCACTCTTCTACATGAAACCAGAGCGAAGCAGCAACACCTGCTTCCCACGCTGTAGTTATCTGCACACTCGGGAGGGACCAGCCGAGACACCCCCGGTGAGCTCCCGGCTCTCCAGGCACCCCATCTCCATGAGCTCCTCCAGCAGAGCCACCACTCCCAGAGCCTGCTCCCCCTGCCCCGCACTCCAGCCCGGCACGGCAGCACCAGCCCTTGGTTCCACATCGCAACTGAAACTATGACTAACCGAGTTATCAGATCCTCAGGAAGGCTGAGCTCCTCGGCTCGGGGCGGGGGCTCCGGACGCAGGCTCTGCCGCAGGCACGCAGCCACACACAACCTCGAGGTTAACCCCATCCTTCGGACCCCAACACCCGACTTACGTGCTCCGGCGGGCAGGGAGCACACCCGGAGTGTGCAGCGGGTGGGCTGGGAAGGACACGGCTCTCAGGGCACTTCTTCAAAGCCCCCCCGGGCACGGCAGCCCGCGGCAAAGCGCTGCGAGTGCTCCGCTCGCACCCTCCCCACGCATTTCGCTTTCGCTCCCTCGCAGCAGCCGGAGACAGAGAAGAAAGCAAAGCCGGTTCCTTAAATCCTGGGGGCGAGAGGATTTCAGAGCCATGGGCGGCCGGGAGCGGCGAGCAAACGGGCACCGAGGCTGGAAACCAGGTCACAGGCGGCAGACTCCTGACCCCGATGGCAGAAGTTGGTGGGAACACATGCTCCGGCCCCAGCGCTCTTCCCTTCGGAGCGAACAGCGTTCTCCGCTCTCCTCCGCTCGCCCGCCGGAGCGTTCCAGCCGGCTGCAGCCGCGGTTGTTAAGGTGGATGGAAGCGCCGCCAGTATTTTCTCCCCTACCTCATCTCCTTGCTCAGCAGCTCGGGGCTATAGGGAGACTGTGCAGTTTCAGGAGATGCCCGACGTTGCCAAGAAATAATAATAATTAAAAAAAAAAAAAAAAAAAAAAGGCAGGAGAAAAGCGAAGGGGCGGGAGCGCGGCAGCTCCGCTCCTGCCAGCCCGGGGACGGGGAGCCGGTGCCGTCGGTATGTGGCGGAGCAGCGAGCAAGCTCTAATCTGTTCCTCTGGCTGACCCGGGGCTCGTTGCATCTGAATGTGACCTCTAGACAGAGCATTAATAACGAACGTGGCGCTGACCCAAGCTGACAAGGGGTGCGGCGCTTGGCACCCGCTCCCGCCCTCCCTCGCTCACTTTCTGTCTCCCTCGCTCTCGGCTGAATGTCAGCGGCAGGGGGAGGGATCCAGGAAAACAAAGCTTGGCTAATAGTTTTCTCCGCTCTCAAGTGAATCAAAGGCGCTTTTCTTTGGGGACGTGCGCGCCGGCGAGCCCAGTGCCGCACCGACGGGGTGCCGTGGAGCCTAGGGACACCTCGGGACACCGCGGCCCCGCAGCCGCTGCCCTGGCACAGCAGGGATGGACGGGCAGAGCTTTGGCACCGGTGTCGCCATGGGCAGACCGGGGCCTCTGCTCCCGTACAGCAAGTGGAGGCTGGAAGGAAGAGGAGCTCGGAGCGGGGTACCGTGCTCGGCATCTCGGGGAGCTGAGAAGAAACCCCGAGGGGCAGCGCGGCGGGCGAGGGCTGCGGGCTCGCACCCCCTCGGCTCTCTGCAGCTCGGGGTTTTTACTAGAGACATTCCAAGGCGCTCTGGCACGGCTGCCCAGCTCCACCCTGGGCTTGGTGAGGGCGGGGAGAGCCCGTAAAAGGGTCCCTTAATGGGAGCTCGCATGGATTAACAGAGCAATGTTATAGGGGAAAAACTAAGTGATATCACTCCCTACGCCTGACGGTACCTGGTGTGATCCTCCAGTACCTCTTGCACCCACACACCCTCTTGGGAGTGAACATGGAGGCAGTTCTGGCTACGGCACCGCCAAAATGTGCTGCAATTCTGTTCTGGAGAAAGACCAGCCCTACGGAGTCAGTGACACCACCCAAGGCATCCCGAAAGCCTCGGGATGCTTTGCAGAGGCTCAGAGAAGGTGAGTAACTTCTCCTGGGCCATGGGGCCATGGATCAGTGGGCGGCAGAGCCAGGTGCACGCCAGGCTGCTGATGCTGAAGCAGTGTGGAGGGTGTGTGGTGGTGAGCCCACATCCCCAAAGGTGCTGGGGTGCTGCTGGAGGGACCATGGCACAGGCAGCCGGCTCGGGGTGCTCTTGCCACCGTGTGGGTGATGTCCTTCCTTCCTTCAGGTGATGCTGGCACCAGCCTGCTGTGCTCCCAGTGGACCTCTCATTTGGTGGCTGGACACAAGCACACCTCTGATGTGTCCTACAAGGGAGCTTGCAGCTGAACTTCCCAGCACCTTTCACACCCATCATGCCACTTCTCTGCAGGGATGCAGTGTCACCAAACAAGGTGTGGGTACCTGACCAACAAGGAGTTGGGATCTTGGACCAGCTCAGTTCTAGAGCAATGTCCCCTCTCTGCTGGTCCTGGCTGGGGACCCTCAGCTCCCAGGTCTCCCCTTTGAAATGGATAATTCCTATGCCACTGCATCCACCTGCTGCAAAACCTTGAGCCCTGTGCCCTGATCACAGACCTGCCTGGTTTTACTACTCCTGCCACAGCCTTTCTTTTTTGCTGTGTCCTATCCTTTGACACGAAGGGGACAGGAAGACCCCCTCAGGATGCCCACTCCTGGAGATGTGCCATCCCCTCTGGTCCAGCATGGCAGTGAGTACACATGGAGCAGCCACTGCTGGCAGGCCCAGCTCTCTTCTTTCACCTGGTTCAGATACTATTCCCGCTCCCTTATTGTTGAAAAAATAATACTCAAAATTAAAATGTAGGCAGCAAATTATAGTAATTACCCAGCAGTTCCTCCTGACAGGCCTTTTGTATTCCATTCACTGACACTCACTAAGCAAATCCTCGCAGTTTGCTCCTACACACTCGAGAAACATTCAACCAATGGTGGCAGAAAGTGCAGCTCTGGGGGCACAGGCATGGTCCCGGGGGTGACACCTTGGCTGAAAGGCAGCCAAGCACCAGCCTGGGATGGCAGGGATGGGACTGCAGTCAATCACAGCCTCACTCAGGGCAAGTGTGGCTAATTTAAGCCTTGGACACAGTTGTGCCCTCCTGGCACCCAATCTGCCCCATCCAAATAATTTTCACCACGTTGCTTTGTACAGAGTTCACGACGAACACCAGGCACCCATGGCACTCTGGCTGTGGACACTGGGATGGCCAGGCTGGGCTCTCCTTGCTCTGGACTGCCCTTGCACCCTGCCTGGATACAGGACACCTGAGTGGGAGACCCCAAGGCACTTCTCACCCCAAAGGCCACCAGAAGGACAACGTGCAGTGACGGGCATGGGCTGCAAACCAGTTTCTCCAGCCCACTTTTACTACTATCAGCAGGTTTTTACAGTTGTAAATACCTCTGATGGGAGAAGGGAAGGCTCCAGCATGAGCACAGGGGAGACAAAAGGAGGAAGGTAAGGAGCTGCCAGCTCGCCAGCATCACCCAGCCAGCTCCTGCATTTCAGAGGTGATGCAAGGTGGCTGACTTTATTTTAGTTTTGTAAACAGAACGGGGCTGGGGAAAAAATGGTTCAGGTCAGTCCAAAACTCAGATGAATTGCTGGCAGCACTGAAAATAAGCATTCAAAAGAGTGCCTTTGGTATCCAAGGGAATATTTTATATCTACCCAAAAGGAACTATATAGGAGTTTTCATGGGTTATTTAACTCTCTGTCATCAGTATTTTACAATCATGCCTCATCACCTGACTCCATCCCGTGTCTTCAGGGTGGGAAAAGGCATAAAGAGCCCCAGGCTGGCTGTGCCCTGAGGACAAGGAGCACAGAGCCTGGGCAGGGCAAGGGAGGACCTCAGCAAGGACCTGCCACTTGCACCCGCCTCTTTTCAAAGAACAAAACCACTTGTTAGACACCACGGGAAAACCCCGAGCCGGCGACAACAGGTACCAGACTTTAAAGACTAACAAAGGTCATGTGGAAACCTCCCGGTTCACCGAGTTCAGCTCCAGGGCGGCTGCCCTGAACCTCTGGCACCAGTGCTGACACTCGGTGTTTGGGCTGGGGAGGGACAATAAACCCACCCACTGCCGAGGCTCAGCCACTGCTCGGACCCCCTTCCAGCCCACCCTGAACTCCTGCCTGCGTGGGCTCATCCAGCAGGTCCCCCAAAGGCAGGAACTGCCTCAACATTGCCTTTTAAGGAGCAGCCCCATCCTGCTGCTGAATGCCTCTGCACCCTGCCCGGCAGCAAAGCCGTGGGTGCTGCTGCTTCCCGGCCTGGGAAGGGAAGGGGGAAATCCTCCAGCAACTCCGGGTAAATCAAAACCTCCTGCTTTAAGGATCACAGCAATGGTGCAAGGAGATAATATCAAGAAAAACACATTCCCCCATCGTTATCCCAATCTCTGCACATTTTGACAGACTACTGAATCGAAGTTTATTGCATAATGAAAGTGTCATTAAGCAAGAACTTTCCTCTTGCTGGGTTTTTGTTCCCCTATTTAAGTTTAGTAACACGGTACTCCCCTTCATTGTCTCCCCTGGCAGACACAATCCTGCCTTCTCCTGATTGGAAACTCCCTGTGCAGCTCCGTGACTCTGGAGGAGAGCAGGCAGCTCTGCTGCCTCTCTGTCCCAGGGCTGTTTTCTCTCACCTGCCTGAACACAAATCACATGGAGTTTTATGCCCCACACACGAAACCCAGGCGTGGACAGCAGGGCCAGGCTGATCTCCTGGTTGGCAAGTGCTAGGAGCAGAGTCACTGACTGTCCCCATCTGCCAAAATACCCCGGGGTGGTAGGGCTGACCTTCCCTGGGACTCACATCTTGCTGAACCCCCTAAACCAGCCAGCTACGGGCTCTTACTGGTACCAGTATGGAGGAGGGTGCCTTGGGTGGCCGAGTCCTTATGATGACGAGGACTGTGCCTGTGTCTCTGAGCCCAGCCTGAGCAGATCACCACCCCCTCTGCCCCTGCCCAGGCGTGCTGGCAGCAGCTCTGCCACCGCCTCCTGCAGCCTCTGAGGTTACCTCCGGAGTTTCAGTTGCTGTGAGTCGGAAACCCCCAGCACGCAGGTCCCTGGAAATGCCAGACACAGCCAGTTTGAAGCATTAAAGCGGCTGCTTCCTGGCAGAGGGGAATTTGGCTTTTCTGTAGAAGTCTGGTGTTGCAATCTCAGTTTCCCAGGTTGTAACGAAGGGAGAAACAATCAGCCATTGGGCTTTACACCAGCAAATCTCCCTGCTTCCTCCTGGCCCCTGGGCTGGAATAGTGCTGCATGCTCCCACGCTTCATCCTCCCTTCACACAGGCTTTGGCAGCTGGTGCTGAGACTCCTTAAGCGCACCTCCACCATCCAGCATAAAACAACAAGAGGCACTTTTTAACAACCAGATGCTGATCTCCAAAATAAAGCAGTGCTCGGAAAATATCCCTCCAACGACCCTCCCCTGCCAGCATCTGCTCACCCCATTACCTGGCCCCAGGCCAGTTTCCTTGATTAAAGTCTATCTATTAAGTTTTGTGACTATAGAGAGCCCTGTTCAGCAATGCACAGGATTGGCACTGGGTTGTAAAAGAGGGTTGGAACAGCTTAAAGGCGAGCGAGCCAAGCACTTTGGGATATTCACAGGCAAAGTAATCCAAGTCCACAGCTCCCACCGGCACCTGGGCAGCCGGCGCTCCAGAACATGCAATCACCATCCCAGCAGCAGGTGCATTCTCCAAGCTGAGCTGAACCTGCTAACACGCCTATTTGCCTTTGCCATCCCTGAACAGCACTCATTTCCATTTTAATTTCCCATTTACAATCCTCTCCGGGCCAGGAGAGTCGGCAGCAACGCAAGCGGGATGCACGGGCTGGGGACGTGAGCTCGACAGCCCATCAACAGGACGTGACTTTGGCAAAAAATTAAAGCAGTGAAAGGGCTGGCGCAGGAGCGGCACGAGGAGGGGAAGTGGCAAGAAGGGCTGTGCTACACTCAGCACTTTTTAAAAACGGTCTCAGCAAAGGCTCTGAATCAGCTCCAGGATGTAAAGTCACCGCACGCTGCCCTGGCTCTCGAGAGCTCCCCAACATGTGCCTGCGCAGTGCTGGGGTTCGCTGTCCTCTCCCTGAATCCCAGAGCTGTGAACACAGGCAGACACTTGCTCTGTGCCTTGAACAGATCACACCGAGGCCGTAAAGCTCTGAAGAGTGGGGTGAAACTACACCCCATGCTACAGGCACCAGCAGCTCCAACACTGCAATGGACAACGTGCCTTCCCCATTTCCTACAGCCAGCCTCGGGGGACACACATGGCTCCAGCCACAGCCCAGGCATCCCAGGTGCTGGCACAGCTCCTGGGGCTGGAGAAGCTGAGCACACTCCTTGCACCATTCCCTGCCTTCCCCACACTCTCCCTGAGGCACGCTGGGAACAAACCAACAGCAGGACAGGCAGGATCCGGCCCCACAGCTCAGGATCCACCACACTGCACCAAAGCCAGCAGTCAGATTCTTTCCATCCCCAGTTGCTGGATAAGCTCCAGCACAGCCGATAAAAGAAAGAAAATGAGCGTCTCACCTTTTTTAGCTGTCTCCATCTCCTCTTCGGTCCAGCGAGAGCTTTCATTCATTTCCAGGGAAGCTGGGAAGGAAGAAGGAAAGAGAGCAGTCAGCTGTGAGCAGGAGCCAGCAAGCCCAGTGAGCTCAGAGGAGGTGTCCCAACACCCAAACCCTGTCCCATGCCCTGTCCCCTGGAGGCATGACAAAACCCCAAGCAGTGCAGAAGTGCTCCCACAAGAAAGGCTGTCACAGTGCAGGCTCGTGAGGCTTTCCCACACCACAGTACCCCATGCACAACATCCCCTCGGGATGCACCTCAGTGATGCAAAACCTCCACTTTGGGCCTGGAAGCAAAGCCAGATGGCTTGAGAGTGGCAGCAGATTTCCTGCTGATGGTGGCACGCACGCTGGCCCAACAACAGGTACCTAAGATGGAGCTGGCTGGGGCTGCGTGCTTTGGAGGAGGCAGACGCAGGGTGGGACCATCAGAGACGGAGAAACGGCGTCACCTCAGTGGTGACTTTGGCCGACTGCATCTGTCAGGGCTGGCCACTGACAACACAAGGGTGTTGGCTGTGTGACCACGGCCTCCCTCTGTGCCATCCCTGGGCTCTTGGACAGCACCTCCAAGCCACTTCCAGCAACAGTGGAGGCCTATCTGGAGCAGTGCCCATTGAAGGGGACATGCTGCTCCAGCCAGGAGGCTGACAGGGGTGTCAGCATCTCTCCCCAAATCCAAGCAGGTGCTGGGGACACCAAGGTCCTGTATAAAGCCTTCACTATGCACCAGTCCTGCTGGCAGCCTGGCACAGAGCAAACCCTACAATAACAAACTGGGGTGTGAGTCAGAGACAAAAAACAACTCGGTAAGGAAACAGATTTCCGGCTCAGGCTGCCAAGGGGTTATTACTCTAAACAACAGGCAAAGCATTATTTCAACAGTGATGAGAGATGTTTTGACAGTGTCCTTTCAAAATGGAAAACAGGCTGATAGGTTCAGGATAAAGAATACAGGCAAGGAGAGAAAGAAGGATCTTCAAAGAAGCTCTACAAGAAGCTGAGACCCTGTGGGAGGACAGCGTGAGTTGCAATGCCCACAGCAGTGGGCAGAAGAATCTCCTTCAGAGCTGGCTGAGCACGACTGCAGGTGTCACCTCCCGGAAGACAGCACAGGTCACTGCCTCCCCCAGAACCGTGTTGCCCCTGGGACACCAGCCAAGAGGGAGGGAAACTGATACCTCACTGCTTCCCCTTGGCAGCAGGCGCAGCCAGGGCCACAGCGCTCGTTTACGTAAAAGCGAGCGTTCCCAACGCCGTGCAGGCCCTTGGCTCAGCTGGTGATGGCTGTTATTGTATGGTACAGAAATGTCACAGAAATGGCCCGTTTGGTTTGATTAATGGCATCGCCTGAGGTTGTGCAGTTATGAAACAGATGCCCACGGGGAGCTCCGGCACGCTGCAGTTAAACCACAATACGGTTTTGTGCTGGTTTTTAATGTTCAATTGGTATTTAAAATGCAATAACTTTCTTAGCCAACCTAAATTAAAGCGCTATTGGAGAGACATAAAGTGAAATCAATTGCTCAGATATGTCACTGGAATTGATCCATTCCTTTTTCCCAATTTAACATGGTCTAAAGGCTTTCCTCTGTGCTCGCAGTGAAGTTTATCAAGGACTCTGAGATACCAGGATAAAAAATCCCATCTAAGCTACTGGCATTATCTGCTGCTTCTCTGCAGCATTGCTGAACAAGTTGGAGGGAGAGAGCAGGGCTCTGTTGTGCTGGGGACTATTTATATCGCCTGTATGAAAACAGAGCGCTCGCAATCAAGGCTTCAGCCAGTTGTCAGCAGAGAACAGGGAGGCGAAACACCTCCGCGTGATTTATGGCACATGGAACAGCACAAGCAAGAAACTGCAGAGCAAGGAATCTGAGAGGAGTCACCCTGCTTTTATTTTTACCTGCCTTAGGTAGCACAGCAAGAATTCTGTATTTTGACAGAGTAGAAAATATAGGAAAATCAGCCAAATTCCTCGATGCATTGGCTTCTGTAAGTCAATACATGAGCCTGCTCCCTGGGGTGGCAACTAGTGATGCTGCAGGTGCCAGAGGCAGATGTGCCCAGTGTGGGGCTGTGGATGCTGCCATGAATTCCCATCTAGCCCAAGGCCAGCATGGCAGCATGGCAGGGCTATGGCCATGCTGTGGGCTGGTGCAGTGCCTGGATGCCATGGTACAGGCAGCACCCTTTGCTGTATCAGGCATGGATGGAAATGGACCAGCCCAATGCCCAAGACCAAGGAGGAGCAGATGCCACAGGATGCAGCTGCTCAGGCTCCAGACAAATTTGAAAACAGAGCAGGTAGGAGAAGTGGCAGAGACTCAGGCAAGCCTGGGAGGGCAGAGTAGGGTCCCATGCAGAGGTTGAAGGGACTGGGAAGCCAGAGTAGCTGCAAAGGGAATCAGCTCCAAGTGTAGGAGGGACAAAACTTTGCCAAAGCACTGCTAAAACTGAAGGCTTCCCTTTTTCTCTTTTGCAACACTTTCCCTCTGAGGCCATAAAACGCACAAACACTCAGCCAGGAAAGCCTGGGCTTGCAAATGCCCCCACTTATCCTGGTGAACCACACTGAGCAATTCACGTGACAAACATCACTGCTACTCCCCAGAAAGAAGCATTTCACAAAGGATTTCCCTCTTCTGCGAGCGGGCAGCAGAGCAGGCTGACGTCCCACCCCAGCACAATGGATACCCCAAAAGCCCAGCCCAGGGCAGGGTCCCCTCGTCCCCTACCCAGCTCGGCGCTCTGCTGTGGCGTGGCTGCCTCCTCGTTGTTGGCCTCGTTGGCCATGGAGCGGGTGATGCGGCCCTTGCGCCGGCCCTGGCTGTTGGCGGTTTTGCGGCCCTTGGACGTGACCGTTTCCTTCTCATCGTTGTCTTCTCCGGACGTGTCGTCGTTCTTGTCCCTGCAAAAACAGCGAGAGAAGGAAGAAAAAAAAAAAAAAAAGTTGTTTGGTTGTTCTGATTTTTAGGTCAAGCAATTAATTCTCTGCACGTGTCTGGGGATTTTTCTTTTTGTTGTTGGTTTTTTAGGGGGGCAGGTCTGCAGTTTTTTTGCAGACACAGGCTCTTTTCCTGGCTGGGATTGGCAGTGGGGTGATTTGTGGTGGGGTTTTCTTTCTGCAGCTGGCTGCAGCTCCACCACCAAGTGCATGCAGAGACCTGACGGAGACAGGTTTAATACCAGACCATTCAAATTCATCCCTGCCTCCTCCTCATTTATCTTCCTGAAAGGGACCTGCTGGTAAATGTCTTTGCAGCCTAGATATAATGAAGCCAGATGTTCTTTTAAACCAAGTATTAAGCCCATTACAGATAGCGAGCGGTCTGCGTGCCAACCTTCCCCTGCCACGGCGCTGATGCTCGGTGTGAGGGAGGCAGGGCTGGCTGGAGCTCTTCATCTGGGAGTGCTCACGGTGACATCAATAACACCAAAGGTGAAGTGCTGTGCTCCGCTGCCCCCAGATTGCTCCTCCGGCTCCCAGAGGCTCTCGTAACAACAGAACAAGCTGGAGGATCACAGGAGCTTTGCAGATTGATTGGGTTGATATAAAAAAACCCCATATTGTGTTGCTTTCCCAGTTTGGGAGCAGCGGGGAAGAGGAATGAGGAGGAGGATCTGCCTTTTCCTCCCTGCAGAGGAGGTGAGGTGGGCACACACAGTCCTGCACTATGGGGTCAGGCAGCCCTGGACTATGCTGCATCCCATCACCACATTCCACCAGTGCAGCCCCAGCCCACTGGAGCCAGGCAGGGAGGGCTGTCCTTACTTTGTCAGTTCTTCTTTGTCATTTTCTGTTTCCTGCTTGTCTTCCTCCTTCTCTCCCTCCTTCTCTTTTTCTTTCTCTTTTTCATCTTTCTCTTCTTGGCTGCTCCGGGGCATTTGCTGCTGCTGCAAAACAAAGGACACAAAATAAACCAAGCCCTCATTGCTGAGGCGGACACAGGGCAGCACCTGGGCCAACCCAAACAACTGCTGTGAAACAATGCTGGGGGCAAGTGGCCAAGAGGAAAGAGCTGCAGGCAGAGGGTGCAGGCAGGGCGCTGCTGGAGGCCACAGGGGCTGAGAGATCTCCTTTCCAGGGAGATCAGAGGTACCTCAGGATCAGGCATGGCAGCTGCACTCTGGCTCCTATTCTAGGCAGTGGGACAGCCCCAGCTGCTCCCCTGGGGTCAGGCAACAAGCAAGGGTCTGAGTGGGGCTAAGGCAGGAAGGTGAGAACTACCCTCCTGTTCTGGCTTGGTGATTTGCAGCCAGTGGATGCATTTTGCTGGAGCATGAAGGAGACAGGGCACCAGTGACACCCCGAGGCTCAGCAATATCAACACTTCTGATCTTTTCCCAAGTGTCTGACACAGCCCATGGGGAATGTTTGTGGCTCTGTAGCACCAAGCAGGGAAGGTGCCCTCTCTGCCCTCTCTTTACCACCTGGCACCTTCAGCAGAGGCCGTGAGCCCAACCACCCCAACGCCTCTGCTGCTGCTCAGGCACCGTGGTACCCCAGGGAGGGACACAGGGATTATTATAGTTCTGGATTTTGTTTCAACAGCTGCAGGAAGGAGGTTGCTGGGGAGGCCTGGTTCCCCTGACCTCCCTCCCCCTCTGGTGACCAGCAAATGAGAGGCGTTGAATAGAGAAGTAGAAATTAGAGACGGAAATGATTTATTAAACCATCCTGCTCCTGGCTAATGCAAGGCTGCTTGCTCCAGGAAACCCACCCAGGCTCACCCGGCCCCTGCCCAGCCTGCAGGGCTTCCACCACCCCCTTGGGAAAGGGTTTGGTGATGTAATGGGGAGTAAAATTGCCTTAAAATGGATTTATCAGCAGAAGGTGGCTGGTCTGGCTGGCACGCAGCCATACAGCAAGTACTGATGAGGTGTCCTCACATCCCTTGGGCCAGCAGAGCTGGCCTGATCCCACTCTGCAGAACTGGGAGGCTGCTTGAAACATGGGCATCCTGCAGCAGCACTGGGTGCAAGCAGAGCTCCTTGACCCCATGGGCTGGTGCTAAAATCAGAAGCGTGGAGCTGTCAAATGGAGCAACTTAACGAGAAAACTGCTGATTCCTTCAGGCCCTGGTTGAACAAAATTCCTTCAAACCCATGCACAGCCATCACTGAAACCCCACTGACTTTCAGTTCCTCCCTGTACAGGGGGAGGCAGCTGTGGCATCAGGACCCTGGCACGCTTGGCCAGCCCCTGGGGCACCTCTGCACACGTGCAGAACACAACTGCAATGCATCAGCTCACACTCCTGCTGCTCTGGGAATTGCTCCGTGGGATGCAAGGCTGGGAGGTCCCAGGGGAGAGGGAGTCAGGGAATAGTTGGGATGAGCACTCAGTTGCTTTTGATTTTCCAAAGTCCACAGATCACTAAGGCTTGGGGAACAGGCTTTCTCATGCAGCAAGTGACCAAGGGAAGTGTCATCCCCAGTTACTGGGCACTGCCCCTGTCAGCCCCCAAACTGGGCGAGAAGGAGGGCAGAGGACAATTGGGAACAGAAGCCTGCACTGGCTGCAGAGGAGCAAAGGGCATCCATCATGTGCATTTCCCCAGCACTGCCCTGAACTCTCTGACTCTGAGTCACTCCATGGTGAACCCTGAGCACGGGTTCAGCCCAGACTGACACCCCTGAGGTGAGGGCTGTGACCTCCAAGGGCTGGGCAGGCAGCAGGACAGGCTCTGCCGCAGCCCAGGCCATCACCACCCATCTGATTTCCCCTCAACAAAGGCTTTGGCAAGGGAGGGGAGCCCATGTGAGTTTCCCAGTATTCCCATCAAGCAACTGCAAATACTTTCTTTTGAGGGATGGGGGAAATCCTGCATCCCAGAAATCCCAGCTCTCCTTCAGATTTAAACCCAGCTGTGATCACACAAGTACCTGCCCCAGCTTCAGGAGTAAGCATCAAAAAAAGGTTCAGCATCATCTTATCCTGTCTCTACACTTGTCTGAACTAGGGGGCTGCCAGCCTGGGCAGCCATGACAGCTTTTCCCCATGGAATAGCAGGGACGCCAAGGAGCTCCCCGTACCAACCTGCAAACACAGGAGCAGGAAGGCAGGGAGAGATGACAGTGACCTTGGTGGCTCATGCAGCAACACAGGTGCTTCCCTGCAGAGGCATCTGCCCAGCTTTGGCATGATCAGGATGGGTAAAATCCCACTGGGCCACTGCACATCCCTCTCCTCCTGAATGTTTCAAGCTCAGCCTGGTAGGACATCTAATCAATGTTTCTCCCAGTGCAGAGGCACATCTCAATCCAAGGTTGCCCTCTAGTGATTGCCCTGCTCTGGCCACGGCCGGGTGCCCGATGCCAGGAGTGAGAGCCAGGTGGGAAAAGCACCCTGCACCCAGCAGGACAGACAGGACAGGTCTCACCTGTCAGCCAGGTGAAATACATAAAATGGGCAGCATCATCACCACCAGGCCATGGTGGGAAAACTGACCCAGCTCCACCCAAGGCTGTGCTCATGTCCTCATCTGAGGGAAGGCTCCCAGCCAAATGCTGATCTGAACCCTGGCAAGCCCACAGTGATGGCTTATCTCCTGTACTAGAGGTTGGCTGCAGAGCAGGGCACCTGCCAAACTCCCCAGGAAACGCCTCTGTTCATGAATGTCCCCCTTACATCACACCCAGGGGTACCTGCTGGGCTGGAAGCTGTGGGGCTGTACTGAGCACCCAGCCCTGGGTGGGGAGCGGGCAGCCCGGGGTGCTGAACGAGGCCATTTCAGAGCTCAGCCACAAATGGCACACACAGACAGGAGGATCCCCCAGGGATGGACCACGGCAGCTGCCCCAGCCCATCCTTGCCATGTGCTCTACCCCAAACCCCAGAGTGGCACTGGAACCGGCCCATGCCATGGCACAGGGGTGGGAAGGCAGCGCCGGGAGCCCCTGGGCCGGCCGGTCCCGGCGCGCTGCCCCCGCCGTGTGTGGGGAGGCTATTCTTAGTGCTGGACACGGACCAGCTCGGGATGATTCAAGGGACGAGACGCCATCCCAAAGCGTGACGGGCCAGGAAATGCTTCCCCAATTACCAGCTGATGTTTCCCTGTGATTCACACCGCCCAGGCTAGAGGTGGACTGGCAGGTGGGTCAGCCCTCAGCGGAACCCCCAAAGGCCGGCACCAAAACTGCTCAGCTCCCGGCTAGCTTTAACTTAAACCTCTCTCCACCTACAGCTCTGCCATCCTGGGGATGAGGCACGCCACTTCCCAGAGGTAAACCAGGTACGTGCTCCCCACCTTGCACAAGAGGGCGAAGGGATGTGCCCGAGGCCAGGGAAGATGCCTGTGGCAGAGGGCAGGGCTGGCCCACCCTCCCAGGTCAGACGCTCTAAGCCCGGACCGCCCTTCCTCCGCCTCAGCATCGCTGCTGCTTGTTTTTGCTGCCGACGCATCCTGTTTATTTAAAAAGGCCCCGGGACAAAATCGGACGCGGGACGCGTGAGCGAGAGGCCGACCCTGCCCCAAGTCCGGGGGGACAGGCGGCCTCCTCCGCTCGCTGCGCTCCGGCCCGAGCAGCTCGGTAATTACAAACACCTGCTCACCTCTGCCCCGCAGTCCCGCCGGGCCCGGAGCAGCTGGGGCGGCGCAGAGCGCTGCCAGCTCTCCCGGGAACAGCGCGTTCCGGGCCCGGGGCCCGCCGCAGGCACGCATGGGCTCCCGCAGCGCCCGGCTCCCGCTCGCCCGGCACGGCCCGGCCGGCTCCTCCGGGCACGGCACCGCGAGCTCCGCCACCATAGAGCTTCGTATCCAAGCGCACTTTCGGGCCGCGACGGCTTCCAGGTAGGAGCCGCACACGGACGGGCTGACCCTGCTGAGAACGGACCCACTTGCCGCGGGTCCTGACAGCGGGACGCGCTGCGAGAAAGCCCTGGCGAGGAAGAGGTGCAGCTCCTCCCACTCTGTTTACTTCCTCTGCCGAGGCACTGCCTGCTCCTGGAAGCGGGACGGAGGGCAGGAGGAGGTGGGGGAAGCAGCTCCCCACCTTCGCCCTCCCCAGCCCCGCCGGAGACGCCTGAGCCCGTGGCACAGAGACGGCGAAAGCGGCCAGAAAGCCCTCGGCAGCCGGCAGCGCCTCCGAAGCGCCCCGCTCGCACGTTCCCCGGGAGCTCCGGCCCCTCATGTCCCCCCAGTCCCTCATCACTCACCTCCCCGCTCCCCGGCTCCCGCGAGCGGCCGGTCCCCGACAGCCCCATGGGCAGCTCCCGGCCCCTGCTCACCGCCCAGCCATCCGGGCGCGCTGTGCCTTACGTTCTCCGGCTCTGAAGGCTTCCTGACGATTTGCATAGTTAAGCCGTAAACTAACCACAACATTCCTCTTATGATTTTGCAATCTGCTGGAATAACGTGGTCGCTCTAAGTCGAGCGATGAATCATCATCTATAAACCACAGCTCTCGTCACCGGGGCTCTCAGTGCTGGCTGCAGCCTGCGTGATTAATCCGCCAGGATGCCAAGCTTAACCTACAGTGCAGGGCTATTTATTTTCCAAACTTGCAAGCCTCCAGAAAACGACGGCCGCTGCCTTCCCCATCCCCTTTGTGGTGAGATGCCCCAGGCTGTGGCAGGGGACCAGGAACAGGGGGCCTCCCTTGTAGCCCACAGGACATCCCAGCATGAACCACTGGACCGTGCACCTTGCAACTGAGGCACCCACGCCCTCCCCCGGCTCCCCCCTCACTCCTTGTGCCACAGCACCCTCAAAACATGCACCAAAACATCACTTTTGCCAGCAGGGATGAGCTCATCCCTGGCAGTCCAGTTCCTGAATCAGAACTACCAGCTCCTGCCACCCCATCTACACCACTTGCTGCTGGATTTGCTAGTGGGGAACCAGGTAATGGTGTTAGCACCGTGAGAGAGCCTGTCCCGAGCCCAAGTGCCC